CGTGCACATTTCTGGATCGAAAGGGGGCTTGGGTAAGTGCTGGGGGGGGGCTGCTGCACACAGGTTTTTTACCCCCATGCCTAGAATGCATGAAAACAAAAAAAACCTTGATCATTTACAACTACTTTAACTTTTTGATGTATCTGTAGGACAGGAAATGAGGGAGATCTTCCCCGATAGGACACAGATAACAAAAAAAAATTATGTTTTAAAGTATAACTAATGGCAAAACTTTGTTTTTTACTTTTGGATAGAGCAGAGAGGGAATAGAACCCCTGTCAGGTTTTTATTGCGGTCTGTGCCCCCATCCGGGAGACTCAGCCTCTCTGTCTTATTTTGTTTACCATTATGATTGAAAGTTAAAGTAAAAGAAAATTCCAAATTTTGCGTTGTACCCAGAAAAGTAGTAGAGGGGAAATCGTCCAATGGGGACACTAGTTTTGGTGACCTGGGGGTCCCCAAGGAATTCCCTTAATTTGCAGTGATTTCCTCTCACTCTCCGCAATGGGACACAGATGGGCCTACAGGAATCGGAGCATGTCAGATGAGAGCTAAGGGGAAGACTCCCTGACACAATCAGCCTCAGAATACAAACCTGTAGACAGCAGGGGCACCTTGACAGATGGGGAAGAGGTCCCTGCTAAGATCAGGCATACCCGACCCCGTTCCCAGGTTGCTGAGATGTTACAGTTGCATGATGACTCTCATGCAGCAGAGTGCCAGTACTAGTGCCGCTCTACATTTTGGTGAACTGGTGAGCACTAGCTGCCTAGTATATCCTGGTTTTTCACATACCTGCACTGCAGTATCACTTGGTGACGTGGCGAGTCCCATAAGTGCAGTACAAGCTGGTGTGGTGGCGAGCACAAGTAGTGGTCCCGCAGCCTCCAATTCGCACACAGGCCCATAGAGCCCCTGGTATCCTTCCGGATGTGCTTGCAAATCCCGATTGGCAGCCCACAAATTCTGCAGTACCCGTGCTTCCCCCGTTCACTGCCCAACCCGGAATTCAGGTGGAAACAGCAATTTTAAATACTCCCCTTGATTTTTTGGAGCTGTTTTTCACGGAAGATCTGTATGGATTGATTGTGGATCAAAGAAATTTATATGCACAACAGTTTACCACCGCCAACCCAAATTCAAACCTTGCCAGACCATTCGCATGGAAACCCATTATGGTTTCAGAATTTAAAGTTTTTTTGGGCCTAACCCTCAACATGGGCATTACAAAAAAATATTAATTATGGTTGTATTGTTCCACAGACCTGATTCATACTAAGTACGTGTTCTCTGCTGCCATGGCCAGGCATAGATAAGAGAGTATAATGTGTTTTATGCATTTCAATGACAACACATTCTGTCGTCCTCGGGGTGACCCCAAATTTGATCGGCTCCACAAAATTCGACCCCTCTTAAATCACCTTAACCAAAAATTTGCAAATGTCTATACTCCCCAGCAAAACATCTGCGTTGATGACTCCCTCATTAATTTTTCTGGCTGCCTTGCATTCCAACAATTTTTCCCAGCAAGCGTGCCAGATATGGGGTGAGGATGTATATGACCTGTGAGAGGACAACAGGCTATACATATAAGTTTCAGATTTACAAGGGTAAAGATAAGTGACGTTTGAGCCCTCCGGATGCCCAGACTACATGGGGAGCAGTGGCAAGATAGTTTGGGACTTGGTGTCATCCTTTTCATGAAGCGCAGTGCTACTCACGCATGCGCAGTGGGTACCCAGCTGCTGTGCAACCGCTAGCCATCGCAGCCGGCGCCTGGAATACAGGACAATGGGCTGCGGGGGACACACCACGGGACCGAGGGACAAATGGCTGTTTTTTAAAAGTCAGCAGCTACAGTTTTTGACTTGTATTTTTTTGACAGGTTGAGTGGAACTCCGCTTTAACATGGGAGGGGTGGACTTCAACGACCAGGTGATGAAGCCTTGCTTTGTTTCCCAAACAGCCAGACGCTGGTACAGAAAAGTGTCTATTTATTTCAGTTTATTTCAATGGGCTCTATACAATGCTTTTGTGCTTTACAAAGCAACTGGACGGAGTGGATCCTTCCTAAAATTCCAGGAAGAGATCATCGCGGCCCTTTTGTATTCAGAAGATGCTGTGGCCCAAACCCCCAACCTAGATGCAGTTAGCCGGCTGCATGAGAGGCATTTTTCCGATGCCATTCCTGGTACCCCAACTCAAAGGACACCCCAAAAAAGATGTCATGTCTGTAGCAGATATGGAATTAGGCGTGACACCCCCTTTTTGGTTCCTTCTGTCCTGGACAACCTGGTCTCTGCCTCAAGGACTGCTTCTGTTGCTCCCACACACTAGTGGAGTATTAGTATAGGGTACAGCATGGCACAGTTCAGGGTACATATTTACACAGAGTCTCAAAAGATGTTAGGTAGTCAGGAAACTGGCAAGGACACAGGGGCCCCATGATCCCCTATTGCCCGGGGGCCCCATGAGTTGTCAGTCAGTCTGCCAAGGGTTTTGTCATACCAAAGTGGGGTAACTTCTGAAGAGCGATCTGCATTTGGATTTGCCCTTCTGAGGGCATTTGACAGGTGGTGATGAGGTAAACAAAATCAAACAAGGGCGCACTCTCATCGTGCATTACAGGTGGTGATGAGGCCTTATTTTCGCTTCCTCGCCGCCTGCTTTAACCCAATAATGCCGCAATTGCATGCGCTGCGAGTGGTTGCAGCACGGCCCCATTCATCTCAATGGGCAAGTTTGACAAGGGGTGGCACAGGTCAAATTCTGCAAGTTAAAAAAACGCAGCAGCCATGAAGCAAAGCCTGGAGGCCGCGGCAAGCGAGCAGTCTATTATTTTACAGTTTTTGTGTGGGTGACCATGGTGGGGGTGATAAAAACAAAGCTCAGCTGCCTGTTTTTACCTCTCTCATCTGAAAGAGGCCTTGTGGTCAAAAAATCATTGGAGATGTATTTAATCAATCATTGTTCACATATTCATTCTTCATGGCCATGGGCGGACTGACAACTCATGGGGCCCCCGGGCAATAGGGGATCATTGGGCCCCTGTGTCCTTGCCCAAACTAAAAAAAGCCTATGAAAAAGGTACCAGGGGCATCTCATGGGGCCCCCTACTGACCCTGGGCCCTCGGGCAGTGCCTGAGTTTACAAATGGTCAGTCTGCCCCTGTTCATGGCCCATGCAATAGGGCTGGGGTAGGGGTCATCCTTGGTCTCCACACTGTGTGGTACAAGCTGTCACTCTCCGTCATTGCAGGAAGTTGGAGGTACAGTAGCATCCATCCATCCATGGCCAGGGGCGGACTGACCATTTGGAAACTCTGGCACTGCCTGAGGGCCCGGGGTCAGTAGGGGGCCCCATGAGATGCCCCTGGTACCTTTTTCATAGGCTTTATTGAGTTTGGGCGAGGACACAGGGGTCCCATGATGCCCTTTTGCCCGGGGGCCCCATGAGTTGTCAGTCCGCCCCTGATCCTGGCCCAAGCTGAAGCCATGGAACTTTGTATAAATATCCCTCCCCCACCTTCCATGACGGATATCATTGGCTGGGGGAGATGCCTAGGGACAGGCTGGTCACGTGTGCACCTCCAGCCACCCTCAGGTGTCTATGGTGCCATTTGCAGGTGATCACCAGACAAGGGAAGGAATGATTGGTGCAGAAGGGGGGCTACAAATCATACACCCTTCATGGGTAGCATCGGGAGCCGCCCCATAGAAATCTACACACGGCACAATACGATCTGCTGTACGATGTGCCTCTCATTTGTTCTGTGTCTTTAAATGAAAGTGAGATGACGCATAGTCCCCGCCCCCCTCCCTGGTGTCCCCCATCCCTCTCCTCCCCCACTCCTCCTCCGCCGGCCGGAGCTGCGGCAGCATCATGCAGAGCCCCGCAGGTGACAGCGCCCGGGCCAGGGGTGCAGATTTGGGGGGTGCATGCCTCTGGGGTGCAGGGACTGCGCATAGGCTGGATGCGGGCCACAGGACACTTCCAGCTGTGTCTTCACATGGGGGGCTGTGTGTGTGGGCGTGTGCTGGATAGGTGCCGGTGGGGAAGTTGTAGGTAGGTGCCGGTGATTATGTGTAGGTAGGTGTGTGCAGACAGCTGTGCGAGTTGTGGGCGGCTGTATGTTGGATCCACAGTGCCTGGTGTGTGTCACCCAGAAGATCGGTGTGGATGCAATGTATCAATATGTGCCTCGCTGACTTCCTCCTCAATGTGCCACAGAGCCCGGGCTACCTATTCTTTTATATTTACTATTCCTTTCATCTGTGAAATGCTGAAGTTTGTCCGGTTTAATTTCTGATTAGGATCTTGAGCCCTTCTTGTCATTTTGGGGTTAATGTCCTGACAGCTGTTTGCAAAAGTGTTTGTTAATAAAAATATATATATATATATAATATACCGGTTGTCAGGACAAATGACATGAAGGTCACATGATCCTATCGAAAAAAAAAACTGGAGGGGAAAATTATACATATTTGTTGTTTTTATTATTATTATTTATATTTTTATTATGTGTAAATACAATTATCATCCAGTGTCTTGTCCATCTATGTTTGCCATCGGGATGTTCCTGGATAGTGGGCTCACTTGGAGCATTTGATAAATCTGGTCTTTGAAGAGCTGAAGATCTGAACTATGTACAAAGCGGAGTCAGTTTTTGGCATTTTTTGGGTCGGTGTGCCAGTTTAGTTTGCAGATTGTTGTGCTATAAGGAATTCCTGGCCTTTTTATGATGATAGACCCCATTGATTGGGAGGTCACCTTGCCTTGTACATTGACCACCTTGGTTTCTTGCTGGAGGAAGAGCATCCCTGACGTATATACAGCCATCTGTTATATCTAGGACACCTTGGCTTGTATACAGATCCCTGTCAGGTGGCACCTATTTGCTGGGATTGCATTGCACCTCTGTGTGATTGGGTTCACGTTGACCGTGCACAAGGCCTACCTGTTCTCATTAGGGACAGTCAGACCTACACAGGGGGATGTTCAGTTACAACCAGGGGCGGACTGACCATTTGGAAACTCGGGCACTGCCCGAGGGCCCGGGGTCAGTAGGGGGCCCCATGAGATGCCCCTGGTACCTTTTTCATAGGCTTTTTTGAGTTTGGGCAAGGACACAGGGGCCCCATGATCCCCTATTGCCTGGGGGCCCCATGAGTTGTCAGTCTGCCCCTGGTTACAACACTGCTTGTGTGATTGGACATAGGAATATCAGGGTGTATACCCGCAGATCTACCGATCACACAAGCAGCGTTGTGCCCTCTCCTTTCCTCACGTACCCGGCATCATCCATAACATAACCTTTGTATCCAGCCATAAATCTTTGACTTATGATCGTTCTGTCAGTGCTCATATCTCCTCCATGTGCACTCTGCCATTCATTGCATTCCCTCTGGGTGTTCGCAGCAATGTGGCTGACTGCTCTGCCATTGTGAAGGTCACACATCTGCAGCTATACCATCTCACTTTGCTGCCCGCAAGGTTGGGGGCATCTGCTGTGTGTTGTGTTCGCAGCCTCACTGTGGTTGATGTGTGGGTGGATCTCTTGGGTCCAGAACGCTGCAAATCTGTGCTAGCAAGTCATTGCTGCAGATTGCAGTTTTCTCTTCAAATGTGCCCCAAAAAGGGATGCAGAGCCTGTGCTGATATCAGAAATGTACTGGATGTTTGTGTGTATAGGATCCGAATGCTTGTAGGCCTATAGAACTAATACAGAAAGGCAGTTTGTTACATCCCAGACTCCCGCCATATACTACAAGCACCTTTATGTTTTTGCATTTGCAGTAAAGTGATTTTTGGCGTTAAAGGATGGGTCTTTAGCTAGATGTGGCTGATGAAAGATGTTAGGGCCCTCGATGTGGGTGTTGTATGTTGCTTCCAGCTAGTAGTGGGTGAGGAAATGAGAGGCTGAATCTGACACAGCTTGGAATCTTAATTCAGCATCATTCGTGTTGCTGGGGCAACCATGTGCGATGACTGAAGGGCAGGATGCCCAAGTCAGTGTATGACATCATCCTCTCTCTCCAAACCCTAATAATGACTGCTCCTTGAGGCCTTGTGTGTAGGCATGACTTGTTCACATATGGCATCTTCAGATTTACTGTCTAAATGGCTGTGTTGCTTGCTATAGTGGGAAAAACATTCAGTTTATAAAAGATTTCAGATATTTATTTTTTTTTTATCAACCGTATGCTTTTTATGAATTCTTAGTTTGAAGTCTCTGAAATGTCAATTTAAAGTGTTACTAAACCCACAGCAGTACAATCAGTCTGTAGATGCAGTAAAGCATGCTTGTTATACTCACTGTGTAACCTAAGGGGTTAATCCTCCACATTGTGTAAAAAGGACGTTTGATCCTCTGTTCTCTGATCCTTCTCTTCTTACATTGTCCCCTAAATATCTCCTGATGGAACAGAGGTTTGGATTCACTCTGCAGATGCTCAGTTTGGTGTGTATTGCTTTTTTTTTTTTTCCCTTGGGAGAGTGCACGTGATTAGCACAGGGCCAATCGGCACTGTCTAGACAGATGTCATGGGTCATGCACCCTCATAGGACAATCAGGGGAGAATGAAAACTCCTCCTACAAGTTGTAACCAGTGCTCTGCTGGACACTGATAAGTCACAAGCCTGCTATATATTGCTAATGAGAAAAGGTGTTTAGCAGTTTATATTGACTAAAATAATTGCATTTAAATTTTCTGTGTACTGTGGGAGACCAGATATAGTGAATGCAGGGTCCGGGGAGAGCGGATATAGTGAATGCGGGGTCCGGGGAGAGCGGATATAGTGAATGCGGGGTCCGGGGGGAGCGGATATAGTGAATGCAGGGTCCGGGGAGAGCGGATATAGTGAATGCAGGGTTCGGGGAGAGCGGATATAGTGAATGTGGGGTCCGGGGAGAGCGGATATGGTGAATGCAGGGTCTGGGGAGAGCGGATATAGTGAATGCGGGGTCCGGGGAGAGCGGATATAGTGAATGCGGGGTCCGGGGAGAGCGGATATAGTGAATGCGGGGTCCGGGGAGAGCGGATATAGTGAATGCGGGGTCCGGGGAGAGCGGATATAGTGAAGGCGGGGTCCGGGGAGAGCGGATATAGTGAATGCGGGGTCCGGGGAGAGCGGATATAGTGAATGCGGGGTCCGGGGAGAGCGGATATAGTGAAGGCGGGGTCCGGGGAGAGCGGATATAGTGAATGCCGGGTCCGGGGAGACCGGATATAGTGAGTGCTGGGTCCGGGGAGACCGGATATAGTGAATGCAGGGTCCGGGGAGACCGGATATAGTGAATGCGGGGTCCTGGGTTTAGTAACACTTTAAATCAACCTGTTCACTTATTACAAAGACGTGATGATTGTAAACTATAATATGAATTATATATTGTAAATTAATTTTCTACTTTTAGAATTAATAATTCTATAAGTAGAAAATGTAAGATTGAGCTGAAAGCAATAAGGAGTCCTTATATCGGACTGTCAGATATCTGATTATTGGTTTTATTGGGTACAACAAATTTGCTGCTTATAGTGGACAATCAGAAATTGGGTGCTGAGGAGCTACAAGTTAAACATCAATACGAACTGATGTCCTGATATTTGTAGTTCTTCAGTACTAGAGGTCCTTTGCTTTCACTTTCCAGGAGCTTTTAGTAAAATTAAATCAATAAGTGATGCAATCATTTCACAGCGCTTTGATCAGCCAAATGAGTGAATTACATTAAGTACTTCACTGGTTGCTCCTGATTGTGTATTAGTAAATAATGGATCAGACTTCATTTATCAAAGTGTCCGAAACAAAAACTGTCTGTAATGCTTTGATGCCATAGACATTGGGTGTGACTCTTTCTGGTTGATCACTTTAACAAGAGGTTTGTATGTTGGACACTGATAAATGACACCCTTTTTATTTACCAATCATGGAAGTATCTTGCATATAAACTGACTTTAGCTGGATACCTTTTGTCACTGTAACACCATGGTAAAATCTTGGGTTTTGTGTGTATGATGTATGCTGGTTGGTAAGGATAAAAATTTAAATACTTATGCAGGCCATAGACGGTTCGTTTATCGGGCGATTTTTCGTCCAAAAGACGAAACATCGTTCGTTCTGTAAACCGATGTTGCCACAAATGATTGCGAAAATCGGCCGTTTTTCACAAATTTTTCCAGCATGACCGATAAAAGAAATGAGGGGGAACCGCGAAAATTGGCCGATGCCATTGCCCCACTAACAGTGCGAAAATCGTCCGATTGTTCTTTCGGACGATAATATCGGCTGATAAACAAACCGTCAATGGCCTGCATTAAATGTATTTAGAAATCACAAACAGGTGATGTTTTACCGACTTGTTAGCAGCACAGCTGTACTAATTAATACTTGTGCAAAAGCAACTCATTAATGGCGTCACCTGTGACTGGACCGGAGCTTACCACGCTTTATATATGATTCCAGAGTTCCAATGTATCCAAACCCAAGAACAAAAATGTAGACACTCAGAATTTTTTTCACTTTCTTTTTTCACCTGGTGATCCTACCAATAACACCCTTCATGTTCTAGTTTGGCAATGGTTTATTATATGAATGAGCACTGTTACCCTTGGACGAGAAGAATGTTAGGACTACACAACACTGCCTCATCTCCATAAGACTAGGGTCACACCTATGCAGTTTGCGTTTGACCTGTTGCTGCATTTTTGCACCTGCATTTTTTTACGTGTTTTGGGGGTGGTTTTTTTTTTTTTTTTTTTTTTTTTTAATTTTTTTCTTGCTTGGCAGATTTAAAATGTAAAATGCATCAAAAATACTGCAGAAATGCATCAAAAACGCACTACATGCATTATTGCAGCATTTCCATTGAAGTCTATAGAACCAAAAATGCAACTTTTTACGTTCACATCTCTGCATTTTTCACCCGGTTTGTTTTTTTTTTTGTAAAGGGTCAGGGAGTTTTTTTTTTTTTTTTTTTTTTTTAACATCTCCCATGGGAAATCATGTTGAATGGACTGTACTGCGTTTCTGCAAATTGCTGCAGAAAACAGTTTGGTGTGAAACTAGGGTAACCTAGGAGGAAGGTGTTTTGTAGTTCACATACTAAAAATAGGCCAGGGCTAATAATTCTGCTGGAAATAAATATATAGAGAGTGCAATAAATTAGTAATATACTGGCTTTCTGTCAGAATCAACAGGTACATTGTTTGGTTGAAGAAAGACACAAGTCCATCAACCAATAAAAAGGAAAAAAAATGATACAGTCCTATATACACAATCCTATACCAACAGGAGGCAAAAAAAACCCAGCAAAGCATGATCCAATTTGCTCCTGCAGGGGGAAAACACTTCCTGATCCCCCGAGAGGAAATCTGATATTCCCTGGATCGACTTTACTTATAAATGTTATATCCAGTTCTATTCTGTGCATATTATTATTATTATTATTATTATACAGTATTTATAAAGCGCCAATGGTTCGCTCAGCGCTGTACATTACAAAGGGGGACAGAACATGTGACAGAACAATACCAATACAATGCAAAACATGAGGGGATCGAGGGCCCTGCTCCTTGGAGCTTACAATCTAGGAATAGTTGCCCACTCACAAAGAGATGATAGTTCTACTCTGTGCATATAGGAAATAATCCAGGTATTTTGTGCAGTAGTATATGTAACAGGCTAGAGAGTATCAAACAAGTTTATTGTGAGGGTTTACACTTACTGCATAGGTTGTGGGAGTGCATGCATTGATGAATCCTGGTGCCATTCACTTTGAGTAGCACCACAAGGCACTAAGGCAACGCATGGCAATGCACAGTACTGCATTGTAGCAACAATGTGTGTCTGACAGTCGGTACTTTACTGTGCGTTGGAAGCCTATTGTCAACTGTCTTAATGCACTGCATGTTAATGCATTGCACAAATATAAATGGGTGCTTACGTTTTTTTTTTTTTTTTTTTTTTTTTTTTTTTTTTTTTTTTTCCTTTCAACTATATAGAGTAGATAAACAAGGGTGAGTGTATTTGATTGTTGGTGCTGAGCTTTGCGTGTTTTTGAACGCATTTTGCTGCTTTTTTTTTTTGTTTTTTTTTTGGTTTTTTTGCACAAAAAATGCAAACCTGAGCTGGGGTACCATGAACAATAAATGGTACCACAAACATTACTTTTTTTTTTTAATTATGTGTATGTATAATGTGTGTAATGTATGTATAGTGATGTGTGTGTGTATGTATACGTGTGTGTGTGTGTGTGTGTGTGTGTATGTATGTATGTATATATGTATGTATATATATATATATTGTGATGTGTGTGTGTATATATATATGTATATATATATATGTATGTGTGTGTATATATATATATATATATATATATATATATATATATATATATATATATATATATATATATATATATATATATAGTGATGTGTGTATGTGTATATATGTATATGTATATATATATATATATATATATATATATATATATATATAGTGTGTGTGTGTGTGTAGGAAATAAGTATTTGATCCCCTGCTGATTTTGAATGTTTGCCCACTCACAAAGAAATTCTTTTGAATTGTTGCTATTCTGTCTCTCAGTGTTACAATACACCTACCATTCGATTTTTAGACTGATCATCTCTTTGTGAGTGGGCAAACATTCAAAGTCAGCAGGGGATCAAACACACATTTCCTTAACTGTGTGTGTATATCTATATCTGCCATGTAAACAAAGCAAAACATAGGGAAAGTCTGCTTTTTTCTTTTGGACTTTTCTGCCAACTCTTGGCAGAAGGATCCGGAGTTAATGGAAATATTTCAAAATGCTTGCGTCTTGGGCTCCAGTGTTTAGGTTTTGGCAAAGGACATAGGTTCACTGTCCAGCCTGCTGCTGGCAGCCTGTGAGATTCTATAGGTTCACCTTTCATAACCTGTTACATCCATTTTCGGGGTGTAACATGTTACGAATGGACCAGCCACCACTTCCCATTGTGACAGCTGCTGGGGGATCTTCTAATCCCCCACTAGTTGTCACATTTTTAAAAACCGTGTCATTCATTCATGGTGTTCTGTGAATGAACTACAAGTCCCGGCAACCTAAGCGGCTGTCAGCTTGTAGTACTCAATGAACATCCACGGCGCTGTGGAGCTCCGTGGTAGTTCATTGTTTCTTCCTGTCAGTATATCTGATATCCGTTTTCCCATACAGGCAAACAGATATAGTGGCAGGTCTGCAGGACACCTGCAAGTCACCAGCAATCTGCTGATCGCTGGTGCAATGCTTTAGTCTCCAGAAACATAAAAAAAGAATAAATTTACATTTGTTTACCTGCTAAAAATGTGAATTTAGTATTTGTTGTAAAAAGATGAACTTATCCTTTTAAAATTCGCTGCTTTATCATGAGTTTTGTATTTTGCCTGTAGAAGCGGCTCTGTGTTCTCCTGTGTCCATGCACATTAGGATAATTAGAGGCGTATTTTAGGCTCAATGTTTAAAGGCAGGGAAAAAAACTCTTCTGGTTTACATTTTTGATTGGAGCGTTCTAGCAGAAAAAAATGCTAAATTCATCTAAACTGTGTACAAAAAACACTCTATATCAGCATTTTGTTTCTGCCTAGGGAACAGAAGGTTTTTCATACCTACCTTTAAATGCTGAGCTTAAAATTGTGTTTCTAAATGTGCTAATGTGAATGGACTGCTAGGATAACATTAGCTGCTTCTACAGGCAAAACACTAAACTCCTCTAGAAGAAGCGATTCCTTTTTTTTTTTTTTTTTTTTTTTTTTTTTTTTTAATTTTACAGCTGCAGCTTTCGAAACAGCAGTTCTGTTCTGTGCTAATTAGGCTTCTTGCACACGGGACGTTTTAATAATGCTGGTAACGTTAGCTGTGTAAAGTCTTGTTAAAAATAAAAGTTTTTCGGTATTTTTTTAGCATTTTTGTATTAGCTTTTAGTGGCATCTTGCCGCATTTTTTCATGTTTGAGTTTTTTTAGCATTCTTTTTTACGTCAAAAAAAGTCCAAAAACGCTGGTTTGCCGAGATTTCCTGCGTTTTGACATGTTTTTCAGCGTTCAAGCGCTTTTACAGCTAAAAAAACTCCTCTAGAAAACCACTAGTCCTGTGTTTTTTTTTTTTTTTTTTTTTTCCAGCCAAAAAACATCCCTGCCAAAAAACGTTGATTACAGTCTGTGTGTGTATGGACGCATAGGATAACATGCTGAGGGGAGTTTACTGGCTGTAGAAAAAAAATGGCAAAAGCCAAAAACAGCTGCTGTAAAAATGTCCCGTGTGCAGGGGCGGACTGACCATTTGGAAACTCGGGCACTGCCCGAGGGCCCGGGGTCAGTAGGGGGCCCCATGAGATGCCCCTGGTACCTTTTTCATAGGCTTTTTTGAGTTTGGGCAAGGACACAGGGGCCCCATGATTCCCTATTGCCTGGGGGGCCCCATGAGATGCCCCTGGTACCTTTTTCATAGGCTTTTTTGAGTTTGGGCAAGGACACGGGCCCCATGATTCCCTATTGCCTGGGGGCCCCATGAGTTGTCAGTCCGCCCCTGCCCGTGTGTATGAGGATTTAGAGATCAGTAGTTGTCACCATACAGGGGGCGTGTCAGACTTCTGGAGGTTGACTGTTACTTTACCACAGAGCAGCAATCCTGGGGAAGTTGAGTTACTGGGACATAATTAAAAAAGACATCAGTCTATCGTATTAGGGCCCATTCACACCAGCAGCCGCACTAGAATGGTGTGCAGTACTATGACAGCAGTGGCAGTTCGCCAATCTTGGTGCATTGCACTGTTAAAGCAAACTGTACATAAGCTCATTGTATTCTATTGGGCATAGTACACTGCGATATTTTGTGTTTCGCTGCACTGCGCTTCTTTTCTTTCCACACACAGCACCAAAACATAGTGGTGTGAACTGGCCTGATGGGGAACAAGACTTCCATTAGACCTGATTGTCGAAAGTAGATAATAGAAAAGGTGATCTTACTGCTTGATCTCCAAATTAAATTTCCTCTATATATAAAGATTTGTCTGATCTGCATAGCATCAAGCGATAGTGTGGGGTTCTTCAAATTTGGACATATGGGCAGATTTAGGAAAACTGATAATTTCCTGATGAAGATAATTTGCTGAATTTGGCAGATTCCTGATGTTTCCTCATCCTTAGTAACAGCATTATGATTTATTATTCAGGATATGGTGTTGTGCAGAGTCCTTGCTGAGCTGCTGGAAGAACCAGTTGCAGCGCTGATGTGGAAGCTGCAGATCTGGGCCTAGTCCACACAGGTTTTTTTTTTTTTTTTTTTGTTTTTTCTTTGCGATTTCTCCCTGTTTTTGTGCTCAGTATAATTGCAGTTGTAGCAAAATGTATTGTTTTTTTTTTGCAATCGCTCATTGTTTCAAGCGGCTTGAACTTGTACCGTTTTCTAGATATCAACATCGACTCAATAATAACTGCACATGTGTAGTACTGTCTGCATTCACAGAACACTGAGTGTGCCATGAATGCAGAGAATGCTGTGTAGTGATGGCGACTCCCATGCATGCACGGGGGTGACGTTATCACAACCTGGCCATTCAAACCTGGAAGGAAGACTGGGTGAAGATGGAAGCACTAGGAGCAGTAACAGCTCAGCTCTGGAGGGCTCCTTTTTTGTAGAGTTTACTGCCGTTTTAATACATTTATTGCAGACACTTTCTCTGCTTTTGGCTTGTAAAGGATCCTAAATTATGTAAAGCCTTTACATAATTTTTTTTTTTTTTTTTTTTTTAAATCCTCAGTGCTGCTCATCTATTGCATTCTCTTTTTGACCACTTCTTTCTGCATGTTCTTGTAGTCTCCTTTGAAAGCCTATGTGACGTGAAAATGCAGGGCATAGTTGGTGGACAGGGGGCAGTGTGTTGTCACCTATCACAGGAAGCACCTAAACAAGGAGCTTCATGGCAGGATCACTGGAGATTATTTTAAAAATGTTAAACTGCTTTTTGTAGTTACATTAAGTCCTCATGCACACTGCAGCTAAAAAAAAAAAAGCTTCTTCAAGCATTTGAGTTTTGTGTTTTTTATCTCTCTGCTTGTAAACTCCCCCTACGTTAGCCTATGTGTCCATGCACACTGTAGGTGTTGTCAGGAGTTTAGTGGCAGGGGGTGTTACAGATGGAAAAAAACTCATCCTTACTTTCAGGAGAGGAGCTTTTGAGCATAAAAATGCTCAAAAATGCATTAACGTGCGCTCCCACCACATTTTTAATAGTTAGAATTCTGGTGAATGGAATGCATCAACGCCAGATGTTTTTTACCACATTTTTAATGCTGCAAACTCTTGTAGGAGGAAAAAATGTTTTAAGCTTACAGTGTGTGAGACCTTACACGTTCAGGCCTTTATGAGAATGTAGTATTTGGTGGGGAAATGTTCTCCCTTTATAGCCAGTCTTATACTGCAAATATTTTTTTTCCTGCTGTAGGAGGTGCTCTCTGCCGCCCTCTGGCGCCCCCTTGCTGCAGTGCCCCAATGTCTGTCCCTGGAGGCAGAAGGCCATCTATTGGTTCGCGTAGGTAAGTCTGCCATCTGTGTTGTGCAAACTTTTTTTTTTTTTTTTTTTTACAGTTGCTATGCATTGCAAATTTTGCTTTTTGTCTTTTTTTTTTTTTTTCCCCACCACAGACGAGCTTCCCCTCCTGTCTCCATGAGGGACCCATATGGAACATCCTCTGTTAGCAGTAGCACCTCCAGCTCCTACAAAGGAAGTGATAGCAGTCCCTCGTCAAGGTATAGTGCATACAGTGTCTTGAAATGAATAATCTGCCAACTGAATCGTGCTTTTAGAAAGGGCAAAGTGGTATCAAGAAGTTCCCATAATGTAAAAGCTAAATTTGAAATATGTTAATTTAGGCTGGCTATTAGTAGGATGATTTCTGATCTCTTGGCTTTCTTTCATGGTACACCAGCAACAAGTCTTAAGCCGTTTGTTGTTTTGAAATGAATATTAAATTAATAAACTATTTCGGAGGGGGGAATCCCCTTATAATGGCTCCAGCAGGTGGGCTGACTGGGGAACTCAAATGTACAACTACCAATACGCCAATCCTTGGAAGCAGTAAGAAGCTGCTAGATGAACTGTTTCTGGACAGAAATTCAAATACTAATTTGCTAGTTTTGTAATCTTACATAGCCAGTGAGAATTTGGTAATGATGGCCATTGTTGAGGTTGCACACTGGACACTGGTCACAACCAGTCAGATGAAGAGTAGAGAATGATCGATGAAATGTGACTGACTCCTCTAGAGAAGTCTTATTTTTCCTCTCTAGTCATTGTACATGAGCCTTATTGTTGTCAGCCCAGGAGCATCCCAAAGTACAGAGAGCTGCATTAGTACTGAATAAGCATGTTCTCTGTGAAACAGCAGAATAGGCACATAGCGGGGAAGCACTGGGACATCCAGACCTAATAACATCTGATTGCTTAGTGAAACCCAGCTTGCTTACTAGTCTGATTATCTGTAAAGCAGGGAAGTGTTACTTTATGTAACTTTTATTAGGGAGAGTGCAAAAATCTATCTTCATATTCTCTATCTCTTTGCCCAGTTCAGAAATGTGCAGGGAAGGAAGAACCTGGAAGTGCTCAAATAAGTATGTTAATGTAGCACACAGTATTTGAGGCCATAACCACGTCGAAGGGAACTATCGACTGGGCCAGCCATGTGGTGGCGTTAATGGGGACACAACTATGCAGGATGGGGCAGTATCAATACTAGAGGAATCATGGGTAGAGGGAACACAGATTTAAGAATAAGGGGAATGGGATGGGGTGCAGAGGCCTATCCATTTATGTGAGGAGGATAATGTTCTACAGTTACTAAAAACTCAACTTTTATTTATTACAGGTACTAGTATAGTACATTTACATCAGTCCCTAACCCTCAAGGGGCGTACAATCTAAGGTCCCTAACCCTCAAGGGGCGTACAATCTAAGGTCCCTAACCCTCAATGTACAATCTAAGGTCCCTAACCCTCAAGGGGCGTACAATCTAAGGTCCCTAACCCTCAAGGGGCGTACAATCTAAGGTCCCTAACCCTCAAGGGGCGTACAATCTAAGGTCCCTAACCCTCAAGGGGCGTACAATCTAAGGTCCCTAACTCACATTCATACAAACACATACTAGGGCCAATTTTAGACAGGATCCAATTAACCTACCAGCATGCCTTTGGAGTGTGGGAGGAAATGGGAGTACCCGGAGGAAACCCACGCAGGCACATTTTAAGACTCTACCTTATGCATGTCTCATGCAGCCTTGTGCTCATATGAACAGACAGGCCTTCATGCAAGGGGCAGAGTTAAAAAGCTACTGAAAGGTCAACTTTAGATTGAGCTCCAGTCAGTGACTTTTCTTAGGCTAAACGGATATCATCAGTCTGTAACTGGCAGTAGGAAGCCTTTCTTTCTTCTCCATCTTATATTGTTTCCTAAGGGAGGATTGGACTCTGGCAAACAAAAAAAAGAATAAAAAGCCAGCCTGGGATAACCCCTCCTCGTTCCAGCATTCCTTTTTTGGATGATGAATGTCTTTTATTCAGCTCTTCTAAGGAAAGTCTAACCCTTTTTACTAGCTTTTTTTTATCTTCGATCAGGATTCCTACTTTGACTGCATCAGTTGGTCTCATCATGGCAGGTATCCTAATCGCCCTTTCCTCAGCTTGACTTTGGGGTGCTGGACAATGTTAGTCTGGACATTGCAGGCATGACTGGTTGGAATGTGACCTTTAGGCACTGAGCTCTGCTTTGGCGCCTTGCAGACATTGTGTACTGGTAAGTTAGCCGTGAAACGATTTCCTGGTCCAGAGCTATGGCATTGCCTCAGCACTTGCCCTTTTGCTGAAGAGTCTTTGAAGTAGGTCATTTGGGCTGAGCAACGGGAGCTACCTTGTTGTTTGGATTACTGAGCGCCTTCAAATTTGCTACTTTGTCATTTTCGCTGCAGAATGGGTTTTTTCCTGGGTGGAGTGTCAATCACATCCTTTGCACTCTTTCCCCCCATTTAGCATTGAGTTGGCACATTCCCACTGCTCCCCATGCTTGCAAAGGCAATGTGGAACTCTGATCCTCGGTCTGTTCCTAGTGCCCACCTACAGTGAATTGGTCAGTTCTGGTCGGCTGATCTTATACCTATAGCTAAACAGTTGCCTTGTAGTAAGTTACTGGATGTCAGCCTTGTGATATTATTATTATTATTATACAGTATTTATAAAGCGCCAATAGTTCGCTCAGCGCTGTACATTACAAGGGGAACAGAACATGTGACAGAACAATACCAATACAATGCAAAACATGAGGGGATCGAGGGCCCTGCTCTTTCGAGCTTACAATCTAGGAGACACATGTTCGATTCTAGACAAGGAGGCCAGTTCTTCTGTGTCAGGTGCCTCCAATTTACACCCCACTAACAGTTCTGTGCTGTGTGCCTACTAATGTTACGGACACTGGCAACCTTGAAATTTCTCCTCTGCTAGAGTGATCTTTGGAGTCTTCCCTAGCTCAGTTGGACATGGCCACCTCCTGCTGTATCCAAGTCCCCCGTTAACTGCAGTCCTGCAAGATTTCATGGGTCAGTTAGCACAGATGCTTGAAAACCCTGACTGCAGAGACCTCAAGCATGTTCCTGTGCCTTCCTCTATTCATTATCTGATCTGCCTGCGGCCTCCATAAATTCACTCGCCAACACTCTAATGCAGCCATTCTCAACCTTTTCAACACAGAGGAACCCTTGAAATAGCTTCCAAGTCTCAGGGAACCCCTGCTAAAAAGGTCTATATCTACAACTCCTCATACACCAGTGTAATGGTCCGTGGGAAAATGCTCTTAGGCTGTAGGTCATGAATGGTCAGTCATTGGGAAGAATCCCCCCCTTACAGATAGCTAAAAAGATCAATGGTGTCAGCAGGAACCAATCTGAGAGGCAGAAATTGCTCAAGAAACCTCTAGCAATCTTTTGGAGGAACCCTAGTTGAGAAACCGTGCTCTAATGCCAAGTCTGTCCAGTCCTTGACAGATGGACCTGTCCCGAGGAGTCGCAGTCTTCTGCCATCACTTCCAAACTAAGAGAGACCATTTTGGCTCTTAATGATGCAATATGTATGCACCACTTTAAAACTTGAGGATCAGCCTATAGCCAACTACCAGCTCTGTTCCCAGTCTGCGATCCTTCCTAAGACTGCCAAGGACTTCCCCAGCGCTCCTGCAGTTCACAAGCTTCCCTAGTGGAGACCTGAAAACCTCCTGACAATAAGTTTGTACATCCCAAGTACCTAGTTCTATATGCATTTGAGAATGACTGTTAAAATGTGTGACGCTATTGTGGATCCATCAGTATGCCGTCCTAACAGAGCGTCTACCATCCAAGTGGAGGATGCAGCTGCCTTTTAAGGACCCATCTCTGATCACTCATGCAGGCCCTGCGCTGTAACCTGTTTTCACCATGACCTTTATCTGTCAAACACTGACTGGTCTGAAGACATCAGATGTGATCTGATCGCTGTGGCAGCTTATTCCTGTCACAACATTTAAAACTCATCCATGCAGCTTTGAGCTACAGTGTGGATATGTTTCTGGTCTACCATCTTTTTCTATATTAATCCTTGTCTGAAACATGGGGGGGGGGACTCGCTGGCTAAAGTGTTGGACTGTGGAGTCTTCAGCTAAATATAGATTTCTCCACATGAACTTCAAAGGATTGCCCTGGATACCCCCATCAAGGATGTTACAGGTGGCAAGAGCCTAAGGCTCAGTCTAGGCCAATGTTTGCATTGCCCAATGTAACACAATAGTATCTATTTTATTGGAAGACATCAAAACTAGTCATGTGAAAACATTGTTCCAATGGCATTTGTTTGCCCGATGTTCTCACAAGAAAAACTGATGTTTAGAAATGTACTTTTGATGTGTATCTATAAAAATCACAATCTGGCTCTGTGTACATTTATAACGCATTCAAAACACCTTGTCATTTCTGATGGTCCTCATGAGGTCTTTTGTTCACAAATCTTACCAGGTGGGTTTTCAGGCCTCGCCTGATGCTGGCTTCCGTTGCAAGATCTTCCAGGTGGATCTTAGAGCAGACAGTCCCCAGTTCTGGTGTCAGTTGGACTGCTATTGGATGTCCAAAACGATGAGACTTTCTGTGTTCCTCAGTGGATGAGAAAGATAATAGGATTTTTGTACTCTGCAGAAAATCCTTTTCTTGGAGTCCATTGAGGGACAAGGGTCTTTCCTCTCAGCTGTTGATAATACTGTGCTACAAAACTGAGGCATGCTGGGAGTAGGAGGGCCTACATCTTTTATTTTATTTTATTTTTTTTCCAGTGTCCAATCTTCCTCTGGCAGCAGTCTAATTCAAAAAGTGTCCTTCACTGGAAAGAAAAGCAGATGAAGGCGTTGTCAAGGGGATTACTGTGATAAGAGATGCCATTAATCCCTGTTACCTTTACACATTATTTGTCATACTTGTACTAAGCATGACAGAATATATCTGATGATCAGTTCACTTGGCAGAAGAAAAGAGAGAAAGATATAGAATGGGAGTGTAAGCCTGGAGGGAGTTTCAGGAAACATGTCGGGCAATACAAATATTCATGTCTTTTATTTTAAGCTTTTCTTTTATGTTTTTTTTTTTTTTTTTTTTTTTCAGTTTAAGGCGGTCAAATAAATACAGTCTGTGCAGTGAAAACCATGGGATCAAGCCCCCCACCCCAGAGCAGTATCTCACCCCCCTGCAGCAGAAAGAGGTCTGCATCCGCCACCTGAGGGCAAGACTGAGGGACATGCAGGAGGCACTTCATGAAAGGTGAGATCACATATTGTAAATCCTACGGACAATCTTTCCATGTACAGGTGGGAAGACAAGGGTGGGGTGTACTTGGTTTTCTCAGTGCTTACGATTGCTGCATGGCCTAGTGCTGCTACATGAGGATAGTGAGAGAGTCCTTCAACTGCAAGCTCCATCTTGAACTTGCTTTCCTCTCTCCTGATTGGAGTATCAAAAAGCTGGGTGCATTAATGTGTACCTACTACTTGCCTGTGCACCTTTTTTTAGGTTCTGTTTTTAATGCCATCATCCTCATTATCCTCATAATGCATTAGCATTTGGAAATAAATTGAAACTCTGGGAATTGTCCTGTCCTAAAGGATGGTTTCAAGAGTTATGGGAATCTTGGTATCGTAGTTATGTTGTACGTAGAGAAGATCCGATAAATATGTCGACACAAGTAATAAACGAGAATGGCACAGCTGAGCCACAACATAATACATGTGGGGGTGTAGGGATTATATTAGAAAGTCCAAAGGTCCAAAAATATCTGTTGCATCTCCTCAATGAGACTGAAGTGATCTCTGTAATATATAAAGGGAACAGCAGAGGGCGCCAACTAAGCACAGTATATAGGAAAAAACTATAAATAAGTGGCAACTCACAAGGCGCATAAGGATGAGAGCACTGGGTGGATGACAAGCCCTTGTCCTTATGCACCTTGTGAGTTGCCACTTGTTTTTAATAGTCTTTTCCTATATACTGCACTTGGTTGGTACTTTGCTGAGTTTTTTTAAATACATTTGACAAGCAGCCCAGTGTGTTGGCAAACATTTTTCCGCTTCCCTGCGCTGCTCTTGAGCATGTAATAAATGGTTGTCTTTTATTTTTTTACAAACACCAACTGAGATTTGGTGACGCTGCCCCTTTTTGCAGGCCCTGCCCCAGATTTACTTTCCTTGTCTTGAACAAGCTTCCCTACTTTAGTGTAAATGATGTAAGCGCACCCATTCCATCTTTTGTCAGACATATCGTCAGTATATCTGCCCCTGAGTATAGATGTACCAATATGATAAAATATTCTACACCATTTGAGGTTGTTAATAGTGAGCACAAATAGAGTATGTTACTTTTTTTTTTTACTTTGTGAATGTTAATTCTGTTATGTCAGCTCACATATTCATCTTTTTTTTTTTTTTCTCTTTCACCCCAAACTTGCTCTGGGTGGTACTGATTCAGAGACTCTGAAGTTGATGAGCTGCGCTCGCAGCTGAGCCGGATGCAAGAGGACTGGATAGAGGAAGAGTGTCATCGGGTCGAGGCACAGTTGGCACTGAAGTCGGCGCAGAGGGAAATCCAGCAGCTTCGTGAAGTCATGGATAGTGTCCGGGGACGGCTAGGGGAAGGTGATACAGGGGTCCAGAAGTATTTTGCTGACATCACGTTGCAGAACCGTAAGCTGGAAAATCTTCTGCAGAACATGGAGTTGGCACAGGATGGGGCAGAAGGTGGAGGTTCCGCTGGGGACTCTCCTGCCCGCTCTCTCACCCGCAGCTCTACCTACACCAAACTGAGCGAGCCTCCTGTTGGAGATCGCCACTCTCAGGACACTGGGGATAGCGGGTATGCTGACAGCAGTGCTGTCTCTTCTGGCACAGAGTTCTACCTTGGCGAGGGTCCTTTGTGTCTCAGTGTGCAGCCGCCTCCGCTGTGCGCTGAGGCTGCTGTTCAGGCCAGCAGTGTGAGTGACTGTGCTGTTCAGACGGACGAAGCTGCGGGCACCCCTGAGCCTGACACAATCATAGAGAAGGTCCTGCAGTCACAGACAGCTGGCATCCTTTCGCCCCAGGACCCCAAAGAGCCAGAAGCAGCCAATCCTGACTCAAGCTGTGTAGTGCTGGTCACTGAAGGAGCCTCTGGGGCTGAAGGTGGGGAAGCAGAGGAACCTGCTGCACCTCTTAGTTACTGGAGCCGGCACTTTGTAGTGGACTTATTGGCTGTGTTGATCCCTGTGGTACCCACGGTTGCCTGGTTATGCCGCGCTGAGAGGCGCCAAGGACAGCCAGTGTATAACATTAGCTCTCTGATGCGTGGCTGCTGTACAGTCGCTTTGCACTCCATTCGCAGGATCAGCTGCCGCCCTGTCAGTGCCTCCACAAGCCAACCCTAACTTTGGCTGTCCCCATACCCTGAACTTTAGCACTTTGTTGGACTCTTGTCACCCCCCTTTGTATCTTGCCTGTGAACTGGAGGGGTAGACGGGAGATGAGCTGGAGACTTACTTTGCTGAGGATAATCAGTGATCAGACGTTATGGAATATATCTGAGTAATCATGAAAAACAAAAAAAAAACAGCACGCGTCCTAAGATAGAGAATCAAAAGTGTTGACTGGGGAGGGGGGGGTCTTTCACTGTCACGGCTGGGGGGGCTATTGGGATAATCTACTCAGTTCATATGGTGTGATTGGTTGTGTCCATTGTACATACCTCTAGGTCCATTATATAGTCGCTGCTGATCACAGCCCAGACACAGGATGTGTATGTGCCCCATGTCACCTGACCACCTGCCCCTGTCTGTGTCTTTAGAGTGTAAACTATCCTATATGTCACACACATGCAATGCCGCCTGCTCTCATGTGTGCACTCTCTGTGCCTGTGTATGCTTGCACACCACAGTATCTGGTGGAGAGCTGAAGGAACAATGCATTGCCATTGAATGTATTCTGTACATATATGTTGTGTGTGTGTGTGTGTGTGTGGAGCAGTGCTATGTATATGTAGACGGGTGCATGCCACATGCTGGACTGCACTGGTTTGAGGCCCAACTGATGTCACCTTGATGGTACTCGTCCCTGGCTCTTACCCATTCCCTATATAGTCTATTGATTTTTGAGGGTTTCTTTGCTGCTGTTTGGACATTTGTCCTCAGGTGTGACTTTGCCATGTGTGCACCAGACCCCATTGTGCTTGTAGGCAGTGATAACCCGATATTTTATATATTCCTCCTACCTCTGTACAATGGAGTGCATGTAGGCCCAACCGCTCCTACCTCCCTTCATGTTACTTTGTCCATTTTATATCACCCTTTAAGGGGCCGGCACACATCTGGTAAAACTGAAGGCAATTGTTTTTTTTCTTTTTAGTTTGGATTAATACACCTGTCAGGTTTGTATTGCTGTGAAAGTAAAAGAAAATCCCCAAATGGTATGTTGTGCCTAGGACAATAATAAAGGGGATATCTTCCAGTGGGGGTGTTCTAGTCCTGGTAACCTGGCGACAACCAGGGATTCCTTTTACTTTTAGCAATTTCCTCTCACTTCCTGTTGTGGATATGGGACAGGAAGTGAATGGAAATCTCCCCAATGGGACACAGATGGCAGAAACAAACTGATGGGTTATAACCCTCCCTAACTTTCCTTTTAGTTCTACTTTAAATATAGTTGCCAAAGTTTCAGTTGACAGATGGACTCTTAAAATGTGAAGGAATATATGGCTGACTTCCTGTCAGTAATCAGTATTGAAGTTGGTCAGTTTGTGCGATCGGCTTGTTAGGTCTGATCCCATAGAGCAATAGCTGCCCTGAAACAAATACTGAAATTGGGTTTCTCGTAGTTTTGCGTACATTTTAAATAGTCGAGTGTTGTTGGTTCTTTTTACAAAAGGTAACTGGCACGATTAGGCTCCTAATAGAGAAATGAATGCTGACGTTTGTCACCGGATTGCAAGTCTCTGCGTTTGTTGCATCGTTTTGGCATGTCGCACGATTTGGTTGTGGCTCATTGCTGAGACACGCTGCTAAGCCTCGCTTCCAACTGCATCACATGAGGACATTTGCCTCCCTTTTTCCTCCCAATCCTCTGACCTCCATTAGGCCCGTGCACTTGGGGGTGGTGCTTCCCATATATGTTACCCCCCATGCCCTGCTGGAGTGACAGTGTCTGTGCTGGTCGCTTACATTGCAGTGTGTGTAATGCCCACTTGGAAGATCTCTATAGGCATTACCACAAACTCCGCAGGGCTGTCCCGCACTAACTTGTTTTCGGCACTTCAAAATGTTTTTGTTTTTTGCACTTACCTGATTCTTCTTAGATTCCTGGGAGCCGGTGAACAGAATGGAAAACCTTGGTCACTTGTCTCCCTGACACCGAGCTTTGCGGACAGGTAACTGTAGCTACTACCAGAATGAAGTCACTTATAAAGCTATAAATCTATATATATATAGAGAGAGAGATATATCTATTTTTGATGTTGCTTGTCATTTGCTGTCTGTCCTGCTGAATGTATTAAACTGGCCTGAGCCACAGTCATGAGCCATATCTGATTTTTCTAGTGGTCTCTCCTATCCTGGTATGTTGAGAGTTAATGGCAAGTGGCAGTTTGCATTTTATTGTTCATTGTAAATAAAAAGACCTTTATTACTGGACCCGTCACGGGAGAGCTGTGATTTCATTTACCTCGCCATCTGCTGGTGAGATCTGGAACCGCAGCTCTCAAGTTCAATTTACATCTCACCACAGGGCTGCTACAAAATAGGTCACCTGTATACTTCCCTTTCTGGTGGTCTGGGTATTGAAAAACTGCCACTTTTCAGTTCCTCAGCCACTGTGAATATTCTACACTTTCAGGTGTGTATATATACCTGCTCCTCCTCAAGTTGCTGTGGTTCCTCCCTTCAACTTGTATGTCCTCACTGGTTGTACAAGATGGGGGAGGAGGAACTACAGCGGCAGCAGGAGCAGCAAGTATTTGACCCATCTGATGGTGGAATATTTGCTGCATCGGGGATGTAGAAATGCTGCGGCTCTTTGGAATACATTGGCTGCCAGATTATTAAGTACATCAATTCTCCTTTTTTTTGTAATTCCTTTTTATACATTTTTTGCAAAGTAGCCAAAATACGTATAAAATATACAGTACAGAAAAGTTATATAACAAATGGCAGTATATGGGCGAACATAACCAATCATCAAGTAAACAGCAGCATGGTAAAATCAATTCTCCTTTTGCAGGTGAACTATTTTGTAAAGGTGGCCAAGTGGTGACAGGGTCTCTATAAGAGATGAGGAGTGTTTTGTCAGTCTGTATTTTTTCATGCCACAAATATGGTGATAGTACAGTAAGAAAACACCTCAAAGGGGTTTTAAAAGTAAGGCCTCTTTCACACGGGGGATCCCATCAGGTCCAATTGTCAGTTTTTCAGGCGGAGCTGATCGAAGATCTATGCATTACTATGGACAGGCAGGTGTAAATGAACTTGTGTTCTACCTCCTGAATCCAATCCAGTCTGTGAAAACAACTGTAAGGGATCCATTCTCTTCCATTTAGGTGTATTGGATCTGAGGGTGGCTAAGTGTTAATAGACAGCAGAGTCCCTTTTACTCCCAGCCACCCATAGAGCAGAATGGGCTGTGTCCATGTCTGATCGGCAGACACAGATGTGTCATCTGCCCCTACTCTGCCCAGATCAGCAGGGGATCTGTGAGTGGATTACCTTCTGATCAGGAATCCACCCCCTGTGAAAGGGGGCCTTAGTCTACACCCGGGGTCTCCAAACTGCGGTCCACAGGCCAGGTATGACGCTTTGCTTGCCGTTATCCGGCACTATTCCTTCCACTGATACCAGAGATGGGGAACTAATTTTTCCACTGAAACCAATTATGGGGCACACGTCCTCCCAATGACACCAATGATTGGACACTATACTTTCCATTAACACCATTGATGTAATTTTTTTTTTTTTTTTTTACTCCTACTGACCACCAATATCTACCTATGCCGGGGTATTTTTCTACTCCCACTGGCCACAGTCCGGCCCCCTCTGAAATTTAAAGGGCAGTAAACTTGCCCTTTTGTTGTGACAGTTTGGAGATCCCTGGTCTACACTATGAGCAGAGATCTGTCAGCTGAGGTGTTTTTCTTTACAGCATATATGACTTTGTAGAGTGCAACACTACTAATATAGGCCACTTCTTCTCCTCCTGGTCTCCCCTGGTTCTGTCTATATACGGCAGACTGCTTGGCTGACTTATTTATATGACCATTCTCCTATCTATGCTTCATCTCGGAAGCAGCTGAAAAAGTTCAGAAATAGAGGAGCATCTTACCGGGGATGTGATCTGATTCTGTATTATGTTACATGTATAACCATTTCTGTTTACTTTTGATGGGAATTTCAGATGTAAAAATCCTCCAACAAATCCTTTTGCAAAGTGTTCACAACAGAGAAAAGGTAAGAGCTTTATTTTACTTTTTTCTTTAATAAAGTAATAGAGTATAATATCAGAAACCTGTACCAGCACAGCGGTATAAATGAGTACAGTAAGGCGTATAGAACACATCATTCTAGATCACATTTCAGAGAACCCGCCATTAATAGAACGTGAAGGCAGCCCTCTGAGTGCTGAGCAACAATACAACTTGTTACATCACTTGAAGCTGTAACTTCACAGCAGTATCATTCGCTTGGTGATACAGCCTCCAACATGCTTTCACTCTTTATGAATGACAGGTTCTCTTTAAAACATCACAAACTACGAGTGGACTGTACTTCCTCCAACAGTTCAAGCTTGGATGAGATTATAGATAAGAAAATGGACATAAATATAAAATGTCTTAACACTACACGGGTCGTCTGCTGCCTATGAAGACTGGACAGAGAAGTGATGACTGTGGAGGTGCGTGTGTCAGAGCACAGGTCTGTGGATCCAAACCGTTTAGATTGTCCTGATCTGCCTGTATGTATGGAAGCTGGAGCTGATCACCAGTGACAATTGCTGGTACTGATGATTTATTTTTAGTCCATGTTGCATGCAAAGTGCTAAAAGTAGATTCAGTTCTGTGTTTCTATATATCTCATTCAGACCTTTTGTCCTAGATAACTAACTCATGCACTAGACTTTCCATACAGATGGACCCACTAGGGTGGACATTTAGGCAGCAATACAAAGGATGAGTGTATGTAGAGTCAGACAAGGAGAATGCATGGAATCACAGCTTCTGTTATTTAGGAAGATCAGATCTCCCCCACCAGGAGGAAGACAAAAGTGCATTTTAGAACTGTATTTCAACCCCACACCACAGAACCGTCTCTCAGAGGTGCACATTGCTGTGTCATCCATGTACATGTTCCCGTTACACTTCTGGGATAGAGTGATCCATCGAGTTCTTCATGACACCAGATGACATTCTAGGAAAAAAAGAAAAAAAACCTATTATCACAACTTTATTGCTGTTGAGGCTGTTTCCCAACACCCATGTCATCCCCTCTTCCCACTTTTTGATTACAAGTCTTCCTGGAGGAGATATGTGCGGGGTTCCTCTATAGCAGGATATCCAAACTTGCTAATACCTTTTTACAAAGCATTTATTTTACCTGCTGTTTAGTAGACATTTGTGATTAGGGTTTGAACTGCTGTTCTACACACACATTTATCAGCAATGTCTGGGAATGACCATTTGGAACTGCATTCAGGCTACATGCACTCAGCTGGTTGTGGGGCACTGAATTCCCCATTCACTCAGCTAGACTCCTGTGATGGTTCAGAGTCATTGACCGCTTCTGCGCCGCCCTATAGCAGAAATACTGCTACAGGGCGGAACAGGTGCGCAGAATCATGTGTGTGATTTTTGCAGTTCCGGGTAGGGGGTATGCGCACTGCCATTCATGGCCCCAGCTATCAATCACCGGGTCCTGGACGGTGAGTTCCTGCCGGCACCTGACTATCTCTGACAATTTCTGATGGGTGGGTGAGATATCTGTATGTACACAAAACAGATCTTTCCCCTGTCAGCTCCTGTACACTGCATTGTATGGCTCTGCATAGATGCAGAGGCATACAAAGCAGTGTGCTTACAGTGGAAAGCGCACACAGCCCACATAGTAAAACCACACACAGTTAACCCTTTGATCACCCCAGATGTTAACCCCTTCCTGCCCAGTGCCATTAGTACAGTGTCGGTGCTTTTTATTAGCACTGATCACTGTATTAGTGTCACTGGGGATGTCAGAATGCCCACCACAGTCGCTGATCGCCACCATTACTAGTAAAAAAAATAAAAATAAAAAATACCAAACAAAAAACATTCCCCTATCTATACCGCAATTTGTAAACGATATAACTTTCACGTAAACCAATTAATTTACACATATTGGGATTTTTTTTTTTTTTTTTAGCAAACACATGGAGCAGAATACATTCTGGCCTAAAATTTATGATATTTGATTTTTTTTTTTTTAAATGTTTTCACTGGACATGTTTTAATAGCCAAAAGATTTTTTTTTTTCTCAAAATTGTTTTGGTTTTTTTTTTTCTGCAAAAAAATAAACGCACGGACGATCAAATACCACTGAAAAAAAGGACATACATTTAATTTGGCTGCAGCATTGCATGACCGCGCAATTGTCAGTTAAAGTTACGTAGCGCCATAGTTCAAAAAATGGCCTGGTCAGGAAGGGGGGTAAATCCTCTGGAGGGCGAAGGGTTAATAGTTACTTCTATGCAGGATGGCTTCCAATGCAGCTGTAGATATCTGTACAATAACACCAATGCTGAGCACAGGCCTAATGATCATGTGACCTTACACATAGATGGCCGCCCTCTCTGTATGGGAGGGGAACATGTGATCTTACCTCTTTATAATGTGCTCGAATATAATTGCTGGGATCACCGTCACTGTTACACTGCGGCCACTCGATGCTAAAACTTCCCCAATCTGCCGATCCTTGAAAACGAAAACAACACGCTATAACATCTGAGCTGTCATCATTCAGGGACAATGTGGTGAAAACCATTTCACACAAATTTACCTTTTAAAAGTCTTTTTTTTTTTTTTTTTTTTTTTTTTTTTTTCCTGCCTACTTTTTTTCAAATCTAAAATGTCTTAAATCCAAATTCCACTTTTCTGCCACATCCCATGAAGTAATCAGAGCAGTGATGTTCTCATCTTTGTATTTACAATAAGACCTGTTCTCTATTGCCCATGGAAGGATACAGCTCTACTTACGGGGAGGTTTGGTGCCCCCACCCTCAGGAGCAGGACGCTGGGTGCAACCAAAACTTAAAGCATGCACTACAAGTTCTTGTGGGTTCCTTCTCTCCACCCCTCTTTACATCATCTCTGGGCTTTATTTCCAGGTAGGAACTGGGGCTGGGGGCTGTTTTAGCACTTCACTGGCACTGTAGCAGTTAACTAGAGGCAGACACAGAGCTGAGTTGGTTCTGCTGCCTCCAGCTTCACAGAATAAGGGCTGCTTTGCCCGCTGCCCGCTCTCCGCACAGGGGAAGGGGTCCAAGGGGGTGGAGCCAGGGCTGCCATTTATGATTTCTTCCTGCACTATTCATCATGCTGCTCCATAAGCCATCTTATCTGCACAGGGAAAGCAGACAGCACTGCTGCACCACCGAGCACTGCTGCACCACCGAGCACTGCTGCACCACCGAGCACTGCTGCACCACCGAGCACTGCTGCACCACCGAGCACTGCTGCACCACCGAGCACTGCTGCACCACCGAGCACTGCTGCACCACCGAGCACTGCTGCACCACCGAGTACTGCAATCTCCTCTGCCTACCAAGGCTCTACCTCTCTAAGGAGCTGAGCTTCTGTTGCCCAGGTTGTTCTGCCTCCTGCTGCACTCCAACAGCCATATCCAGCAGTATATTCCAGCCCATAAGGAGGGGTGAGTGTAACCCTGGGGGGGGGGGGGTCGCAGCTCAATATCTGCTGCCGGGTAACAACATGGCCAAGCTGCGGCAGGGACCCCCAAAGCCTGGGAACCAACCCTGTATGTGCTTCCTGTGGTAGAGGGGACTTTCTCCCAGGTGGAGCCCTGTTTAGCCTGCCAGGCTTTCCCCAGTCCCGAAGGCTCCTTCCTCAGACGCAGGACTGGCGGCATTAGGGTCCTTGGGGAAGGGGGCGCGTTCAGGGCCCTTAATATTTGGCGGGCAGGGCAATTAACATTTGATGCCTTTTCTGGGGCCATGGAAAGTTTTCATGTGGAAAGGGCCTTCGTGCTCAGAACGGCCAACAAGCTTTGTCTTCCCACCACATCACTGAGCTGGAAGGGGTTATGGGCAGGGATTGCCCTTTTTTTTTTTTTTTTTTTTTTTTTTTTTTTTTTTTTTGGGACCAGTGTCAATCTAACCTGTAGATGGCAGCATCACCCCCTGTAATTATGAAGTTCTGTGATGTGCAATTTTAAGAAAACCATTCTGCTCCCTATATCTGCCCACCATATAAGAGCTTGGCTTACCTTGAGTCCTATGACATTCTGCCCATTGACTTCACACAGGTAGTGGTTGGTTAGCAGCCCATTTCTGGCGGCCGAGCTGTCCTTCACCAGTGATGCGATTTGTCCTTTCTTGACAAGGAACCCGACTTGTCCTGCACTGTCCTTCTGCAGTGTCACCGTGCGCTGGAATGGCCTGTGAACAGAATACAGAAATGATACAATGAAATGCTTTACTTCACATTCTAAAGCCGAGACCTCCCCTATAATTGGTGTTTTGCCTTGTGAGCAGTTCCCTTTCAATGAAACCTTTACAGAGAGGATGACATTGCTGAGCTAAGTGATGCCCGGCTGCTACACTGATCCCAATGCACCAATTCCTTCTGAAACACTACCAGTATGTAGATCAGTTGTCTTGCCTCTAACTTCACTTGCTGCATGCTGGTTTCCACTAAAATAATAAAGCACCTTTTGGAGGAAAGTTTGTCAGTGGGGGCAGCCTTCATACATATGTAATAATTGAAGACTGCTGAAGGATGATAGTCACTCTTGCATTTCCTCAACCTGACCTTCTGGTGCTGAAATTCTAACCTACCAACAATGTCCCAATAGGTTTCCCACAACCGTATCTTTTTACTGGGCTTGACTCTACCTAACAATAGTGTTATAAGATTTGGGGAGTTTGTGGCAAAACCTCTTCACTTAGAATTTCCTTTGCTTATACTTTAACCCCTTCCCACCGACGTCACACAAATATGCGGCCTCGCAGAACTGGGCTTCTTTCTGTGGGGCATATTTGTGTACCTGTCTTTTGTCACTGAAAGCCCCAGGTCCCGTTCTAACGGTCGGGACCCGGGACTTCTGATTTTGGGTCACATGATTGCTGTGATAGCCCCGGATTGGCAATCACAGTGATCAGTCATAATGAAGCCTGCCCCCCTTGATTTTTTTTCTCTCAATGGAGAAGAGAGATGCATTGTATCTCTCAATCTCCTTGGAAAGAGAAAAACTGTAAAAAAAGAAACAGGAAAAGAAATATTAAATAAAAGAAAAAATACCTAGATCAAGGTTTGATCTAGTTCAGTGCCAGGGTTAGAGTTTGGGTCAGGGTCAGGATTTTTTATTTATTTATTGGTATCTATGTCAGTGTGTTTTTAGACAAAAAACAAAATGCGCACTATTGTTTCTAAGCTGTAATACAGGTACAAATAACATACACATATATGGTATCGCTGAGATCATCAAGAGCTGTAAAATTTACTTTGGGTTGTTCTTTGGTGGTAGGTTATGATGGTAACAAACACACAGCTACATTTAATTTGTGTGTTTTTTTAAAAAAAAATTTTATTTTACTATTTTGGGCCAGTTTTCCTTTTGATAATAAAAAAAAAATCAGGAGATATCCATTACCATTTACCAACAAATGAAAGCCCAATTTTGTCCTGAAAAAAAAATGCCGTATAATCCACCCGGATGTACAAAGTAGCTGTGAGAATATGGACAGTTTTACTAACACAGGTCAACGTTGTAAAATGTAACTTCGGCTCTAAGATTTGTTTTACCATTCGGCATGCGGGGGTTAAGCACATTACATTACTGAACACAGTTTGTAAATATTTTAAATGTATAACTGTTGTATTATGGGGAACCTCCCCCCTCCCCCCTCCCCCCCCCCCCCCTTAACCCCTCGATGTCCACGTAACATGTGGCAGCAAAGAGGGTGGGCTTGAATGGTCACATGCCCATGAGTATATGTGCTCATGAGTGGCATACGGTTCTGTGCTGAGAGTGCATGCTCCCAGCACAGTGATTCAAGCTCCACTAATGATTGACAGCTGGCTACCTGTCATGTGATTACTATGACAGCTATGACCTTCCTGCCCCACGGGCATAAAGCAGCTGTTTTACACATGGTGGGGCTGGATGGAAAAGGGTACCTTAATATGATCCATCTGTACGTGACGTATACCTCCATGAGGGGGCTTTATATTCCTGTAATGTTGGCTTACCCTTCGTTCTTGTGTCTCACTGCTTCTGAATTACAGGCCCAGCGTATTACCAGATATGGAAGTGCTACTCCGGACACCCGATGACACTAATGCACAATGATGTATGTCTGTGTTCTAATAAAGTGGAATTTCCTGCCATGTGCTCTGTTTTTCCATACTGTAATGTTTCTATAAATCACAAAATGTGTAACTATACAAAAGGCAGCCTGGGACTCTCTAGTTGTTGGGAAAATACAAGGGTGTAAACTGCTGTTTGTGGAATCTGTGTATAAGGAGCTGTCATGTGGGGGGGGGGGGGGGGTGTTCAAAGGTCTTTTGTGACTGCTGCTCACTTACTGTATAGGACCCTCACATTGCAGGTTATGTCTAGGAACTCACCGGTCTCGTACAATCATGCTGATCCGGTCCTGTCCAGCCTTTTTCAGAGCTTTGTGTGCCTTGTCAGTGCTCCATCCGGCACAGTCTTGGCTGTTGACTTGCAGAATCTGATCTCCAAACCGTAAACCAACCAGAGAGGCAGGAGAGTTAGCCTGGACCAGCTGGACAAATATTCCCTGGAAAGACACGGGAAACAATTCCTCAACATCCCTGTTGCCCAAAAAACTGACCTTTCCAATGACAGATTCAATCCCCCAAAGGTTTTCGTCTATTGTAAAATGGAGCAGCTGTGCATGGAGACCAGTCAGCTTCTGTCTTTCATCTTCAGAGCTTCCCTGAATAAGCTGCAGACAGAAGCTGACTGTTATGTACAGTTGCTCCATAGTCTGTCTGGTGCACTTTTATTTCCCTACTTGGCATTCATCACACAGAAATCTTGACCAAGTAGTTGGTTTCTTACATTACAGAGAATGCAGTGGAAATGTAGACACATCATGGCAGGGAGGTGTCAGAGCTTTGCTGCATTCTGTTTTTTCACACGCCCTGGGTGCAGTGCAGCTTACCTGAGTGTTTATATTGTGTTCTGTGTGCTTGATACACTTCCAGAAAGCGCACCTAAACTGCGGGACACAATATAAGTCTGGGAAAGCGCATATAACCCACTCCAAACGTGCGTAAGCTGCACTGCATACGCGTTGCAGGAAAAATGCAAAGCAGCACTGTGAGAGAGGGCTCAGGGATGAGTTGTAGGTGAATAAAAAAAAAAGCAAACAAAAAACTGCAGACTGATTTAGTCCAACCCCCCAAAAAAAAAATAAAATCACTTTTGTGAGCATTTCCCCTCAGATTTGCTTACCTTGTCAACAGCTCGTAACCTCAGGCCCACCTTCCCTTTCTCGTCCTTGCATAAGATCAGCTCCCGAATTCCATGTTTTATCTCTGCACGTCTCAGACCAATGTCATTACCAGTGACGGGGGCAATCAATCCACCTGAGATGGTGCTGGGAACTGCTACTTCCTGCAATAAAAACACATACGTCAGAGCAAACCCTCTTTTTTTTTTTCTCTGTTAAACTGGATGTGATGTCAGCAACTGGTGTGTTTGCTTGAAATTTACTGTACAAGGTTATAGCTTTTTTTTTTTTTTGACCTTCTGTTGGGTTGTTGTTGCGGGGTTCTCCCTATGGATATTTCTTCTGCATTTAGCCTGGTGTACATATTGTCAATGTCACAGAAAGGGATAACCCAACACATTAGTTGTCACCAGACCAAGAGATGCTACATACTTGTTTGGCCAGACAGTGCCAGCAACCAAGAATTTCCAGTAAGCAGTTGGCAATAGCAGTGAACTGTCTTTCAGCTGCTAAGATTTTTCTTTATATAATAGTTTAACCCGTTTTGTGCTGGTGCCTCCTGGCGCTTTTAAGGAATTTCTGACGCCAGGAGGCAGGGCAGGGTTTAGGGTCATGTAACAGCCATGATTGGCTGTCACATGATAAGAAAGGTACCAATCGCAAGAAGAGATCAGGCCCTTTCCGTGGGATGCCAAGACATGTGTTGGCAGCACGCAGGGTGTGCACGCTTAGCACCTTTGTTTACAAATGGTACGCAAATATGCGGCTGCTCAGCGTCAAGGCCCAGCCTCTGAGAGGCTGCATATTTGTGTATGCTCGGTGTGAAGGGGTTAAACTATCTTTAGATCTGGTTCACACTGGTGCAGCTTTGAAACTGCACTAATTCAGCGCAATTTCAAAGCCGCACATCAGTGTCATTTGCAGTGCAGATTTAATTGCATCTTGTGACTTCATATAACAGAAGTAAGTATATGCAAATCGCAATAAAAACAGAAGAAAGTAGTGCAGGAACCTTTTTCATAATCGCTGCAACATGAACGGTTTCATGGCTGGCAATGGAGTTGTAACTTGTCATGTGATTTGGATCTGTCATATCATATAAGTCACACCAGTGTGAACGGGGCCTGAGTACAGTTGGATCATTAGCAGAGCAGAACGGTGGATGGGTGAATTCAGGTCTATGAAATAGGAAAATGTCCATGCAGGTACTCACAGCGTAATAGTTTTATCCAAACCCGTGCCATTACACTGGGGGTGGGTATGGGTCTTCCCTTTGTTCCTATGCCTCTTGTTATCACTGATATTGTCACATGTAAGCTAATCTGGCACTGATGGAGCCTGCGCAACCAATCACCCGCTCTGACACAAAACAAAGGGGATTGAGCCACAGGCTTCCCTACCCCTAAAGAACACGGTATTCTCTACAGTCCCAGGAAGGAATGCAGGCTCTGGGGAGTTAGAGAAGGCAAGATAACAGTGTGGCCGAGGCAAGCCGTAAAGGACAACTGCACCTTTGATTGGAATGAGTAAAGCACCCTTATTACATCAGACACAACACTCCTCCCTTTTCTTGCCCAAAGAAAGTATTAGTGTGCGCCATTAAAGTATAACCAAAGGTACAATTTTTTATTTTTTATTTAATTTTAAAGAGTGGAGATGGATTAGAATACTTCTCAGTTCATATTGCTGTCTGTGTCCCCATTGCAGAGATTCATCCTCTCTCGTTGTCCTGTTTTTGTCTTTTACTTTCAATGATAACGGTAATCACAAATTTTGGGTTGTCTCCAGAAAAGTAATAAAGAGGAAATCTTCCAATGGAGGGGCACAAGATTTTCTTTAATTTGCTTGGATTTCCACACTTCCTCTTCGGTTATAGGCAGAAAGTGAAAGCAAATCTCTCCAATGGAACACAATAAAAACAAAAAAATCTGACTGGGCTTTTAACTCTTCTATATTTTATCCCAAATCCTAAGACAAACAAAGGTTTGCCTATAATTCTACTTTAACTCTCTTCCTAAAGTTAGTTGAGTGTAGTCACCGTCCAGGCATCGGGGGTGGAACTAATACTAGAACTACTCTTCTATGTTCTACGAGTCCCAGCATGCAATGCCCCAGAGAAGGTTCACTACATCTCTGTTCACCCATTCACCTCTTAGTCCACTGATGGATAGGCGGAGGTGTGCTCAATATTCCACCTCCGTAGTACTGAGAAGAAGAGATCTAGGCCTGTCTCTACCACTGCACACTCGGCTGAAGGTGACCGCACCCAGTAAGTTTCAACCAATCAGCTCCCCTCTGTCCCACTCACCTGTTCGCTGATTAGTTGAAACTCAAACATGAATCATAGATTACTTGATTACTAGGTATTACCAGATTCCCCCCCGAGTATATTATCCCAGTGCTGGGCCTATTGTTCTTCCTTTCTGTATCCTCCAGGAGGAGATTTTGTCTCCATTTAGACTGGTACATATTGTCACTATCACAGAAAGGAAGAGGAAGCTCCCTCCTCACTGCTGAGGTTGAATGGTGAGCGTGTGAATGCTGATAAATCTCTTCACTGATGCAAGTGATGAACAGAGAGGGAGGTGGAGTGAGTTCCCTCAGGTGCACTGAATGCTGAGACTTGTAGAACAAGGTAAGTACTTTCTATTCCTCTACAGCCACCTGGATGGTCAGGCAGCGGTCAGCTTTTAACAGCTAGGAATGGAGTTCAATTAGTTGGCCTATGGCAGAATTGTGGTTGAAGTGGTAGGTCAGGCATTTCTATTGCTGATTTAAGAGGTGTGCTATTACAATATTTGTAAAACAAAGGTGGAGTTGTCCTTTACATTGAACCTAATTCTGTACCCTTCGTGGACTGAGGCGAAGCATGCTCAAAATATAAGAGCTGTCAGGGTTGGCCTGCTGCCCTAAATTCAAATCCTTCAACCCTCCAATCCGTGTTCTAGTAGGTGAACCATCAATATCGAACAGAATGGATGGTGTTTCGGCCTGCTATCCCATGAGATGCTGCTACTAGTATAATATAAAGGAAAGTATCCAAAGCTCTGCTAAATCTATTAATAAACTACAATGAGAACTACACATGTTCCAGCGACTGCAATCACAGTCTTGGGGGGCTGGGACAATGAGAGATGTGCTTTTCCCACAATTACATAAATATCTGTCAGCAGAATGAAGAATCCCGTTTCTTGTATATCTCTGATATAAACACAACTGACTATCAGCCTAAGTAATGGCCTAGTGGTTTAGCAGGCTGACAAGGTTTCCTTTAGAGCTATGGGTTCAAATCCCACCAACATATATTTCACTTCATGAACTGACACCATCAACCAGAAACTGAGTCAGTGATCATGTTTTATTTACTAAACTTGATAATTAAAGGGCTGGCTGAGTCAGAGTTTAAAAAAAAAGGAAAAAAATATTCTAAGTCCCATTTTTTTTTTTTTTTTTTTTTAACCAGCTCATTACAAATATTTTTGACTATTTTGCTCAGACTATTGAATTTGTAGTCAGGAATTGCATTTTATTTACTGAAACTTCATTTCCGAAGTCTTTATGTTTAAGGGGCTGGCTGCTAAACCCCCCCCAAGCCAGTACTATGCTGTGGTGAAGGGGTTTAAGCAGCCAGCCTATGGCTCAGCACCTATGTCCAAGTTGCAGGTTCAAATCTCAGCCCATTTATTTAAATCTGAAATAACTGATCACTAGTGTTGATGTTTAAAGGTCTGGATGCTTAAAGCCCAAGCCTGAGCTATGCTGTGGTGTAGGGGATTAGCAGCCAGCCTTGTGGAGTTTTTGGAGTTGCAGGTTCAAATCCTGATTCTTCTATCTGGCTTAATGTTTACTTTACTCCTGAAATAGGAGAAAAAGCACACAGCTTATTGAGCAGAGGCGAGTAGCTCAGTGGATAAGAGTGTTGACCCAGGGCACTGTAGACCCGAGTTCAAATCCACAGAAGTGCTGTAGACCCCCCAGGGGCAGATCCATGAAAGCACTGCAGACCCCGAGGGCAAATGCTAAAGTGTGCTGTAGACTCCAAGGGCGATACTGTGAAAGCACTGTAGACTCGAGCTCAAATCCCTGAGTGAAAGCTTGGAGGCCATGGACAACCCACCAGTCTGCTCCAGTCCCAGGTCCCCACAGACCTGTAACATGTGTGGGCATCACATTAGGTTGTGGACACCCCCCTCCTTGGTCCACAGTCTGTGACATCACTGCAACATATATAAATACAATGGGCTGTCTTACCGGGGCAGCCCATTCAAAAAGCAGGGACTTAGGTTTTTCTTGGCCTCACCCAGGCACTGTACAGTGCCTGAACCCACTGCTGGTAGGACAAGGTTCTGAAACATTTTTCTACTACCCTGTTCCACCGCAGCAGGGGATTCAGGTACCGTAAAGCACCTGGAACAATTGAGCAGTGAAGCAGCTTGTCCTCAGTGGGATTTGAACCCAAAGCTCCAGCAGGCCAATCAGCATTCTTACCCTCCATGCTACCAACCTCTACTCAAAAACTATAGTGCCTATTCCTCTACTTCACAAGAACAAGTAAAAAAAAAAACCTGTGCCTGTGTAGCTTGGGGCAACAGCTCTCCTCTGTAGACAGTTGAGTCCTAAGCGGCCTGGCAGTGTACAGCCAGCCACACCTTTCTGCACCATGTACACAGCTGAGATAAATAGATCATCATCAGTGACAGTACGTTTAGCTAGAGGACAGCTCTATTCATTACAAAAGAGAACGTAAGAAAATGTCCAATCAATCACTGTCAGCCATACTCACATTTCCTCCAGATGGAACCAGTGAGAGATTAAGCTGCAGCTCCTCGTCAGTCAGTGACAGGCCCATGTAATCGTTCAGTTCCCTCAGATTGGGGTATAAGCTATAAAACAGCAAAACGATAACACTACGGTCAACAAACCTTCACACATGACAGACAGTAGGAGGGGCCATGGATGAACCCCTTCTGAAAATGATGGCTGCGTTAGTGACCTCAATAGTTTGTGTCATTGGGCAGAAACAAATGTGTACTTGCAGTGATGACTTCACGCTGACTTGCTTGATTTGGGCCAATGACCGTAATAAGCATTAAAGAGAAAATATCACCGCAAGTGGAGAGTGTCTCCGGAAAAGTCACCCCTGACCCCCACATACGCCCATGTAGCTACTTCCTCCTCCGCAGGCAGTGCAAATACCTGGCATGTCCAGGTAGGAAAAAGCATGTGAACTCCTTGCCAGTCATGGTGAGTCCATTGCTAGGCCCGAGAACTGTCACATGACCAGGGGTGTAATATCACTGCTCTCCCAGCTGGTTTCAGCGCCTGCTGTGGATGAGGAAGGAACTGCAAGGGAGCATAGGTAAGGTGACTGGGGAGGGATTATAGGATGTCCTTTGCATAGACGCTGTCATTGTGCCCTGTTTGGACAAGATAACAGGGTCTCTTCAAATTCAGAGGATTACCATGACTGCCAGGAAACTTGCATTTTCAGAGATCAGCAACTGTCTTTACGTCACACAAGGCAGGTTTCCGTTAAGACACAACAAGCTGCTTGTTCTTCCTAGTAGGGTAGATTACCAACAATAACTCTTACTATAATTCACTGAGGAGCTCTCTTACACGTCATTCCCAACATCCTTAAGTAGAACCCTCCCACCCCAAAACCCCCCCCCCCCACCATTCCATTACTTTATTACCCAACTACAACCAAAGAAAGCATGAAAGGGTTAGGCTGGCCATACACTATACACTATACAATTTTCTCTGTCCAATTTCTGCCCAATTTCCTTTAGATTTACTTTCACCTATGTAGTGCAAGGGCCTGCTTAATTGGATACAATTGAAAGTGTTCTTAGGTTTGACCTCAGATTATATGTTTTTTTTGGTAAATCGAAACCAAAAATCTCAAGAAAATTGTATAATGTGTGACCAGCCTTAGAGGCTCTGTCTGGTTTATCTATATCTGTGTCATTGTTGGGGAGATTTATCTTCACTTCCTATCAGGGCAGGAATTGATGGGAGGTCTCCCCAACCAGAACACAAACATTTTTATCAGAGTGGAGACGTGTTAGAAATTAATGCGGAGTTCCAGCTGAAAAAAATAAAAAAAAAGCAGCTACAAAAACTGTAGTTGCTGATTTTTATAATACAGACACTTACCTGTCCCTCGGTCCTGTGGTGTCCTCACCATGGCTGGCTTCACTGGGCGTCTTCTCTCCCAGGTGCTGCCATCTTCAGTGTGGGCACCCGGCTGTAACAGCTTGTGGCTTCATAGCCAGGTACCCACTGCGCATGCAAGAGAAGCGCTGCACTTTGTCAATGGCCCCGTAGTCGTCTGGGACCTGTCACGTTTCCCAGAACACTACGGGGAGGGAGGGGGAGGACAACGTCCGCTTCCGATCGCCTAGGCGATCACAGTGGATGTGGGAACGGATACCTGTCAAATTCAGGTACCTGCACCCCAAAGGTGCCAATCCTTAATGGGGAGAGGGTAACATAGCATTAAAGTGGAACGTCCCCTTTTGGGTGGAGCTCCACTTTAAATTATGTTTTTTATTGCCATCTTCCTGTCTCAGTGACAAGCTTCTCCCTCATTTCTTGCACAGACATCATAGGGACAGGAAGTGAGGGAAAACCTCCCTAGTGGGGTCACAGACAGAAATAAAGACCTGGGAGAAGAGACCTCCTGATCTCACAATAATCCAAACGCACACATTCCTGAAAGCCGCTGTAAATATATGTGGGTGATGCAGCAATCACCGGCTCAAAACTGAAGGCTTTCAAAGCGAGAAATGTCACCAGCGCACCAAGGATCTCCAGAACAGACCAAAGCTTTTTTAAGATCAGCATAGTTGCAAAAAGCAACGTTTTGCCGCCTCGCAGGACCCCGTCATCAGCCATGTGATGTCTCGAGGCTGATAAAGGGGTCCTGCAACACTCAGCAATGTCATTTTTTTTGTAACTATGATGTGATCACTAATAAAGGCTTTGGACCCGTTCTGGAGATCCTTGGTGTGCTGGTGACATTTCTCACTTCTAACCTCAAGGGAACAACCTGCTAGTTTGAAGTGTTTGGATATTACAGAAGCATGTGTGCCCATTCTCAGGAATGTTCATGGATTCTGTCATCTTGTCTCTATGGGCATCTTAACAGCTTGTATGAAGGGCATGTATGAGGGTTCAGGGGCAGCCTACCCCTCAGGTAGGAGTCTAGACCCCATGCTGTGTCTCAGCTATCACCAAACATGAAGGCCTTACCCAACTCCAAAGATGGGAAGTGAATCCAGTAAAACCATATAATTCTGTGTGCATCCTGTATATTTGGGAGGATAGAACTGGGTCTTCCATTGGCCTGATGTCCTCCACTCTTTGAAGCCACGCGGGTATCAAAGGAGGAGAGGAATCCTTCCAATGCAGGATTTAGTTGTAGTTAGAAGGTGGACAGAGGCAGATTTCTTGTGTTTTTTTATGAGAATAGTGTAATAGGAAAAAGGCTTGGTTGTCCAGAATAACAAAATCAGCAAATTTCTGAGAGATTTTTCTGACTTTGGTCCAGAAGGGCTTCAGTTTTGGGCAGGACCAAAAAATGTGGAAGTCTGAGCCTTACTCTTCATGGCACTGTCAACAACTATCAGAGACATCAGGAAAGTTATCCTTTAATTTGACATCTGAAGTCCTAAGACATGTACACCTCTCCTCCACTAGAGGGAGCAGTTTACCTGAAAATCAGGAAACGTTCCCTATTCCAGCCACATAAGGACGGATCACTTACTTGGGGCTGATTGTGGAGCAGACGCAGATGGCGCGGACGCTTGCATGAGAGCGGGTGGTGGTCTGGAAATCACTTGCGTGGACTGAGCCTGGAAGAAGGAAGATAATGAATTTGTGACAATCATCATTATTTCATTTTATGCACAAGACGATGATGCTTCCTGCTCTGCTCTATGGGTGAATCATCCCAGGGTTTTCGGTGAATCATTAATCGTGATCTGTTATTTCACGTGAGATAAAATACCAGATTGGCATGCTAAGGTGTTCACGTGGCACAGAATGCCACTGCCTGGTAAGAAGGAAAAGCGTGCAACATGTGAGGAACAACCGATTACCACAATCCTGCATGAACATAATGTCTCACCACAAAAGCTGTGCAAAGGTTTTCTTGTGTAAACAAAACCAAAAAGCCACAAAACGTAATGACATCACCCAGCATCAACAAACACTGCTGGAGGAGTACCGCTCCATTTCAGGGTGTGTGCATTTACATGGAGGAGTTTAACGAACTCCAGGAAAAGAAAAATGCTCTTTTCAGTGGGGGCTCCTCCCTGCACCTAAAGGGTATCATGTCGGGGGTAGCAGTGACAAGGACTTTTACTTACCTCATCCCAGGCTACCTGACAGCCACTGCTCAACCCCTGCTCCCTGAGGCCCTCGGTGTTCAAGGGTATTGGTACTGCACTGCTAAAAATGTTAAAATTAATTTTTTATATGTTAAAAAAAAATCTGAAGAATATATTTAAAAGATATATATTTTTAAAAATATTTTTCATATATTTTGTAATATATAAAAAAAATGCATTTCAACATGCAGTATATATATATATATATCATATCATTTTAACATATATTTGTAAATGCGGTCCAAAAATGTAGATTTGTATTTTTAAAGAAATACAGTATATTTGAAATGTATTTTTAAAAATATTTTGTAATAAAAACGCATTTCAACATGCAGTATATATATATAGATAGATAGATAGATAGATAGATAGATAGATAGATAGATATGGGAGGGATAGATAGATCGATAGATATGGGAGGGATAGATAGATCGATAGATATGGGAGGGATAGATAGATAGATAGATAGATAGATAGATAGATATGGGAGGGATAGATATAGATAGATAGATAGATAGATAGATAGATAGATAGATAGATAGATATGGGAGGGATAGATAGATAGATAGATAGATAGATAGATAGATAGATAGATAGATAGATAGATAGATAGATATGGGAGGGATAGATAGATATGGGAGGGATAGATAGATAGATAGATAGATAGATAGATAGATAGATAGATAGATAGATATGGGAGGGATAGATAGATAGATAGATATGGGAGGGATAGATAGATAGATAGATAGATAGATAGATAGATAGATAGATAGATATGGGAGGGATAGATAGATAGATAGATAGATAGATAGATAGATAGATAGATAGATATGGGAGGGATAGATAGATAGATAGATAGATAGATATGGGAGGGATAGATAGATAGATAGATAGATATGGGAGGGATAGATAGATAGATAGATAGATAGATAGATAGATAGATAGATATGGGAGGGATAGATAGATAGATAGATAGATATGGGAGGGATAGATAGATAGATAGATAGATAGATAGATAGATAGATATGGGAGGGATAGATAGATAGATATATACTGAATATGGCCAAAATATCAGCATTTCAAATATATGTCAATATATTTGGGAAGAATCTTTTTTAAATATATTTCAAATATATTTCTCTTCCATGTGGGGAGGGTCAATGTTTATGTGTATGATGGTGGTAAGGTGCAGGAAAGGTAAGTGTCCTGGATGCTTTGTATGGGAAACTAAAGCTTCAACGTAGGAAATAATATTCACAAATACACGAGGAGCATTCAAGTCAAACCGTCATTTTCCAGGTATAAAAATGGATGCCGGCGTGGCGGTACTACATGCCGTAGTAAGTGGCAAGTGAGTCCTATTACTGATAGGCGGCGCACATGTCGCGGGCCATTCCAGAGACCGTTAATCAAGATGGCAGACAGCAGTGTTAGTGCGTACATGGAACAGCGTGTGGTGATGACGTTTCTTGTGAATGAAGGTGTAATACTCATGGATATCTACAGAAGACGTCAGGCCCAGTACGGTGATGAGAAGCTCAGCCGCAGCAAGACAGTGGAATGGTGTAAATGTTTCAAAGATGGCCATACGTCCATCAGTGACCATCCTGGTGGTGGTGGTTCCCAGCCCACAGCAGTCACTCCTGGGAACATTCAGTGTGTGGAATGCCGGATCCTGGATAATCGATGCAGAACCCGTCATTAAATTGCACAAGAGACAAATCTTTCTGTGGTAACGGTGAACACCATCATTCACGAATGACCTACGATGGTTCAGGTGAACTGACAGATCTTTCTATGCCGCAGCTTTCCGGGCATAGACGCTGGGATAAGTCTAGATGTAGCAGGGGAAGATGTAAAAAAAATAAATGCAGTTTCCACTTTGAAATGTATTCATTTCTTATATAAACTGAAAAGTCCTGGGATGACTTGAGCGCCCCTCGTATGTAAGTAAAATGACTGCTGTGTGTAGAGTGACAGAAATATTCCATTGTGTGAGCAGAGGAAATGTGACTCACCTGCATGGCCCTGTCCACTTTCAGATCCTCTAGTGATGGGTAAAGAGACATTGTTATGGAAGTTCAGAATCTACAAAAACAAATAACAGCAGAGCTTTGGTTATGAACATGAATGTACTTAATACATACTTTACGCTCTATTGTAAAAGGCATTGAAATATTTGCATTTTTATTCACACCCAAACTGCTGTTTCAGGAAATGCCTTTGCAAACACAGATTTTACCTTGTAAAGATAAAAATGACATCATCACTATACTGCGCATAACCTATGCAGAAAGCATACCTGTGGGAGGGGCCCACTACAGGCTACCTGCAGAAAACTACAGGATGGGGGAGGAGACAAGACCAGTCACCCTGCACAAGGAGAGGGAGCAGCAGTGAGCGGTCTTTATTACAGGAGGGGGCGGAGACAAGACCAGTCATCCTGTATAAGGAGAGGGAGCAGCAGTGAGCGGTCTTTATTACAGGAGGGGGCGGGGACAAGACCAGTCATCCTGTATAAGGAGAGGAGCAGCAGTGAGCGGTCTTTATTACAGGAGGGGGCGGAGACAAGACCAGTCATCCTGTATAAGGGAGAGAGCAGCAGTGAGCGGTCTTTATTACAGGAGGGGGCGGAGACAAGACCAGTTCATCCTGTATAAGGAGAGAGAGCAGCAGCAGTGAGCGGTCTTTATTACAGGAGGGGGCGGAGACATGACCAGAGCGGTCACCCTGCACCAGCAGAGTGAGAGAGCAGCAGTGAGCGGTCTTTATTACAGGAGGGGGGCGGAGACATGACCAGTCAGCAGCAGTGACTGGTCTTTATTACAGGAGGGGGCGGAGACAGGTCACCCTGCACCAGGAGAGCAGAAGCAGTGAGCGGTCTTTATTACAGGGGGGGCGGAGACATGACCAGTCACCCTGTTTAAGGAGAGAGAGCAGCAGTGAGCGGTCTTTATTACAGGAAGACAACATTTTCACACTGGATTGCTATAAATACACAGAACACACGGAGATGGAAGAATACATTCTGTATACGTCTTGTGTTTAGACAATACTTGCTTATCCTGGAGTAATATTCACATGACTCAGCAGGTCACATGTCAGTATGAACAAATTCTATTAATAGAATGAATAAACAAATGCACCTCTTTCCTGCCGTGACTAACTGGCTGCTCCCAACTGCTACCTTAGGCAGGATGGTCACATGGTCTCTGACTACCAATCAGGACAGCAGTGAGTCTGTATGCTTTAATCAGATGTGAACTAAGAGGATGAGAGAGCTTCCCCCATATTCATATACAATGAAAATCCATAGAGAAACAGGTTATATGAGACAGTAACATACACAACACGGATGATGTACTTCGTATATTTAATGGCATATTGCATTGTGGGGGGAATGTCATGAATGGTTGAAGAATAGGGTCAGTTAAGGCTGATAAACTAGAAACATCACAAAGTCTATAGGGCCCCTTTACCCTGGGAAGAGTCCACTATTTCATCACAAAGTCTATAGGGCCCCTTTACCCTGGGAAGAGTCCACTATTTCATCACAAAGTCTATAGGGCCCCTTTACCCTGGGAAGAGTCCACTATTTCATCACAAAGTCTATAGGGCCCCTTTACCCTGGGAAGAGTCCACTATTTCATCACAAAGTCTATAGGGCCCCTTTACCTTGGGGAGAGGGTGGAAGAGAGCCCACTATATCATCACAAAGTCTATAGGGCCCCTTTACCCTGGGGAGAGGGTGGAAGAGCCCGCTATATCATCACACAGGATGTTCCTTACAGAAGACAGTTGCACAAGCAATCGTAATAAAACCAGCTTCAGCATAAACATCAACATTCACTCACACCCCACAAATCAACATTCACTCATAGAATTCACTTTTATGTTAACCCCTTGACGCCGATCACGCGCAAATTAGCAGCCTCACAGAACTGGGATTTTTTCCGTGGGGCCACTAATTTGCATACCTGTCTTTCTGCCACACAGCGCTCTCCCAGCAGAAAGACAGGTATGCAAATTAGTGGCCCCACGGAAAAAATCCCAGTTCTGTGAGGCCGCTAATTTGCGTGTGATCAGCACCCTCTCTTGCTCACACAGACATGGACTATGGCACAGTGTACAGGACCACCACCAATAGGCACTGTCATAGGGACACGTTTCTGTCAGATATAAGAATCTGTCTGTAGTTACGTTGCGTCTGTACAGCTCTGGCTTCCTGAGAACGAGCGCCTATGGCACGGATCCAAGCAGAGAACAAAGCTTAGGTTTCAGGAAACTCAGGAGTCAATTCTGCAGCGAACTCCCGGCAAGTTTTTCAGTAAGAGGAAGTTTCAGAGTGATCATTTTACTGGAACTCTCCAACATGGCTGCTGTTGAGTCACAAAATGGTCAACCAGCTCAGAGCCTATTACACAATGACTCCTTTACGTGTGGCGTGTCACCGCTGGGTGCGGACCTGTGACAGGGTCAATATTGACGTTCTGTCAGAGGCATTATTTCTGCCCGATTAGGTCAGAGGAGTGCAAGTTGTTCCGTGACTGAATGAGGTGTGTTATAAATACCATTCTGCCACAGAGACATACACTGCAAGCTGTCCGCGTGATACAGAGAGAGGACGTTGTGAGGTTATGTTACTAAGTACTTACCCTACTCCCCGATCTCGGACATTGTGATAGCTGCCTCCTCTTCATTCATTGGCAACACTCATTCCTATGGGTAAGCTGTACACCAAGGCACTGATATAGGCCACCATGTGTACAGCCAATCTATAGGAACGAGTGCAGCTGCAGCATGAATATTCAGAATGACTAAATGGCTGGGACCATATCAGAGAAATGATCACCGGATCCAAGTGGGCTACACTTGGAGTGGGGGGATTTAATAAAAAAAAACACTCCACTAAAAGGTGGAGTCCTTTAAAAGGGCTGGACAGTAAAAAGTAGCAAACGGATAAAAGTTCCAAACAAAAGAGGCAGAACAAGACATTACAACCCCACAGGGGGGGATTTGCCCTCTCTAATAATCGCAGTGACCATGGTCCCCGAGACAAAAATCGATAGGGAATCCGAAAATTTCACAGTTCTCACCAGTACAGGAATAAAACTGGGACACAGGTTCTGCTGACTGTGTAGAAAGGGAATTTCCCTCACAATGTACGGATTTTCTTTCACTTCTTGTTGGGTCTGTGGGACAGGAAGAGAAAAAGAGGAAGAAAGGAAGGAATGAAGGAAGGAGGAGGAAAGGAAGGAAGAAAGGAAGGAATGAAGAAAGGTAGGAAGAAAGGAAAGAATGAAGAAAGGTAGGAAGAAAGGAAGACATGAAGAAAGGTAGGAAGAAAGGAAGGAATGAAGGAAGGAAGAAGGAAAGGAAGGAAGAAAGGTAGGAAGAAAGAAAGGTAGGAAGAAAGGAAGGATGAAAGAAGGAAGGAATGAAGGAAGGAGGAAGAAAGGTAGGAAGAAAGGAAGGAATGAAGAAAGGAAGGAATTAAAAAAGGAAGAAAGGTAGGAAGAAAGGTAGGAAGAAAGGAAGGAAGAAAGGAAGGAATGAAAGGAAGGAGGAAGAAAGGAAGGAATGAAAGAAGGAGGAATGAAAGAAGGAGGAAGAGGAAGAAAGGAAGGAATGAATCAACCCAGACTGTCAATTTCATCTGCTGCAAGAGCCACAAACCAGGGACCGCCCCTCCCCTACTGGCCTTGGGTGGACTGAGGTGACTAGATCTGGGAAAAAAAAACAAAACAAAAACAAACCTCCTAAAGAAGTGCGCCCCTCTAGGATTGGCACCTGTATGCACATGCCTAGAGTGCCTATTGCAAATCCAAGCCTGCTAGAAAGAATAGTGAATGCCTAGTGGAATGTGGAAAGTACGAGGAAGGGATCGTCACAATGGTATGTGTAAGAAGTTCTGACTATGACAGAAAAGAAAGTCATAGTTTCTGGGTTGGGATAAGACCAGAACCTAAAAAGAGATACAAATGTGAACAGCTGTATCTAACAGACGCAGGGTTTTGTATAGGATCCTGAGGATAATAAAGCTGGTCATACATGACTAGATTTAGGAACGCTTGTCCAAAAATTCTCACCGGTACATTTATTGACCTGAGAAATGGCATTCAAAAGTATTTTAAACATTTGTTTGCTTTTAACATTTGATTTGGGAATTATTGTAATTTCTTGAATGAAAACCACATTCACTGTTAGAAGTTGTGCAAAATGTTTTCCATTCTACTGCATCCTATTTTTTTCTTCTCACTGTGCTGGAAAATGAGCGTCAATTTGACCAACGAACAATTTGATAGTGGAAAGAACGTGTAGTGTACAGCCAGAAAAAGCACGCTCATTAACACAGCCATGGGAACGTTCATACAGCTGCTGCATCTACATTGACTAAAATGCCGTTTGCATGCAGACACAAATGGCTCTGCATGCTGTACGGGATTCTGTGACCGTGCGCGAATGAGCCCTAAGAAAGAATGCAGCAGACTAGTAAGGAGGTTTGAGCTTTACGGCACATCTTGAAAACCAGGGACTGTCCCCAGAGGGCCAATGACAATGGCAGGCAGAAGAGGACTTTGAGAGGCAGGTAGGTGAGATCAGTGGAAAGGCAATACAAGAGTCACAGCTCTCGGTATGAACAGCAGCAGTCCTGGGTGTGAACATTTCCAGGAGGAGCGAGGAACATACAGGTACGACAGAACTGAAAAAAACAGGAACCTGATACTGGCCCTGAGGGCGACACAGAAACCGGTCATGTGAATTCACAGAAACAACTGACGTCCCAAGGAAAATTAATGAGGCAGCTAGACACATTGGGGGCATTTCAATCAGATATTGTAGAGATATTTCTGACATTGTGGATGTAGCCAGAAACCCTGCGTCAAATCACTGTGACATTTTCACTGTTAGTACCGGCATCTGCAACAATTTCCAGCAGTTCCTATTTGTGACGTGTTTATTGCACTTCTGTTGCCACAAATGTATAAAGAAATACGGAGAAGGACAATGGAGGTAAATCAGATCTCTTCCATGTAGTCGAATGTGCAATAATTGTGTTGTTCCTT